CATCTGATTGCTTCCGCTTGTTCCAATTCTTTTAATGTTCTCGATCCTTTCCTGTGGTTGTCACTTGAGCTCGCTCCATACCTCGTTACTTGATCCTATAGCCCGAGATATGCCTAAGGTAGCATCACTTCCCCCTGCGTAATTTTGATGTCATGCGATTTCTGGTTGCTTCCACTCGAGCTCATTTTTTATGTCGCCACTCGAACCTGTTGCAAGCATTGGATGTTTTGCGTGGAGCTCCATGGTTTTCTTCATCATTTCTTCCAAGGTCGTGAATCACCGCTCCTTGGATGAGAACCGGCTTGCCATGGACGAAAAACGTTCCTCCATTCCCGATTTCATTTGGATCATTTCTCCCTATGATTCAACATAACTTCTCCCTCTAATTTCTCCTCCAATACAGACCTTTGTCGCGATTACTTCTAGTTACGGCTCGGATACCAACTTTATAGGAATGGGGTGAGTTCCACAAAACTTATGGTAAAAATAATTTATTTTTATTCCACCAGTACCAACATAAAACAATACAATCCCAAATACATAAAAGACATGCCTAAAATTCGATAGGAAGGCAAATCTCTCTCAAACACTAACTCCTAATGTTCCAGACGATAATCACATGTCCAAACCCTAATCATATTAAACCCTATTTATACCTAAGTAACCAAACAATTATAACTAATAAAATTGCCCTTTTAGCCTTGCACCTAAAATAAGTTTTTAAACTATTTGGCAGGCTTGACATGGGGAAAGCACCATAGGTGGCGGTCTAACACTATTCCTTGTAATAAACATTTTTTTTGCATCGATCTATAATGCAAGTATAGCTGCATTTTAGTAAGGTTGGTTTCCTAGTGGACTGCTAACAAGGCTTAAAATCTCTCGGCAGCATGTACCTACTTCATCTTTGTAAATTTGACACACTAGTGATCAATCAAGCAACAACAATTACTATTCTAAGAAGTCCAAATACAAATAATGTGGTAGATACATAATTTCACAATTCCTCAACAAATTTATTTAAAGGAGTATGTCAGGGGGAAGTTTGCTTATAAAGTGGTTATAGAACTTCTAACGTAGCACTTCAAAATTTTAACAGTAATCAAAATATCACAAGAGTTATAACAAATTAGCAAAATGGTACTATTAATTTAGGCTTCTGTATTTTTGGATTATCTATTAAGTTGTTTTTTTTTTTTTTGGTGGAGATTTTCTCGCAAAATTATTTGGCAAGCAGATATGGCTTGCATTGTGCAATAAGTCAATTTTAGTGGATCACTAAATACGTGCTAATACAAATACTAGATTGTCCAAAGATCACATTTTCAATTTTCATGCAACTTTAGTACCTCTAGAATAGAAAATTTTGACTTCCACAATTCTTTTGTGCTTTTTAAAATAGATGTGAGAGCTCTGGATGAACAGGAAAACATCAGAAGAATGTCACCAATAGGAGAAAGAGAAAGGGGGAGTGGTGGTTCTGCCTTAATGAAGGCCTACGATTGAGGAAAGAGTTTTTTTCAAATTTGACTTGATTCAGTTGAGCTGAAGCTCGTTTTTGGATTGTTGATGTTCACGTACAATAGGGATTCACTTATATTTGAATTTCTTTTATTGGTTTTTTTAGTGTAGGATTTATAGATGATGATTTTGGTGCTTGTGTATTTGAACTCAAATTGAAGGTTAAAAGGGTTGGTAGAGCTTATGGTGGCATTCGAGGTGGCTCGTATTATCAATTTGCAAGAGTTTCAAGAGAAAAGTAAGGAAATAATTGAGGGAGGTGTGGATTGCTGAGTTAAAGAAGGTCTTTATATCCCACGAAGAAACAATCTTCAAATTCGCTGAATCTTATTTTTGATCTGATGAGGTTCATATACAGTAGGGATTGGCATATATTTGAATTTTGCTTGTATTGATTATTTTTGTGGAGGAATTATAGAAAATGATTCGGGTGCTTGTGTACTTGAACTCAAATTGAAGATTAAAAGGGTCGATGGAGCTTATATGATGGCATTGGAGATGGCTAGTGTTATCAATTCACTAGAGTTTCAAGAAAAAAAGTAAAGAATTTTTTTTTTAATTTGTGGTTTTGATTGCTGCCTTAAAGAAGGCCTTTATATCCCACGATTGAGGAAAGAGTTTATTTAAATTTTGACATGATTTAGGTTGAGCTGAATCTTGTTTTTGGTCGGATGAGGTTCACATACAACAGGGATTGGCATATATTTGAATTTTGATTGTATTGATTAATTTAGTGGAGGAATTATAGAAAATGATTTGGGTGCTCGTGTATCTGAACTCAAATTGAAGATTAGAAGTTTTCGTGGAGCTTACGCTGGTATTTACAATTGGCCGCCAGGGTTGGGAGGGCATTGTGGATTGCTGCCTTAAAGAAGACCTTTATATCCCACGATTTATGAAAGAGATTATTTCAAGTTTGACTTGATTAAGGTTGAGCTGAAGAATTTTTTGGTCTGATGAGGTTCACATACAACAGGGATTGACATATATTTGAATTTTGATTGTATCGATTATTTTAGTGGAGGACTTATAGACAATGATTTGGGTGCTCGTGTATTTGAACTAAAATTGAAGATTAAAAGGTTTTGCGGAGTTTATGATGGCATTGGAGTTTTCTGGTATTATCAATTGGCCAGAGTTTCAATAAAAAAGTAAGGAAATAATGGGGAGTATGACGTTGATGCGCATTTTGTGTTTATTGGCAAGAAAACAAAAGATTGTTTTTTTGGTGGCTATGGATATATAAGCAAGAGAAAATAGGGAGGCCTATGCAAATAAATTTTGGAAAGAGAATGGCGAAAGGTAAAAATTGGAGGCAATGATTGGTTTTATGCTCCTCACAAGATTTTTGATTGCAAGAAACCGTACTAATACCAAATGCTAAAAAATTGAAGGCATGGGGAGTTCACAAAGCTTACTGGGAGGCTAATGTAATGACAATCGAAAGGCTTGGAATTTATAATAGTTAGGAAACTCTCTCTGCTGTTGATGATATTGGTATATTTGCAAGAAACCATCCTAAAATAACAATTTATGATAGCTAGGCTAGTTATTGACTTGTCGTGCAGGGGTTTTTTTACATTAAATTTTATGTACAATAAATAAACCACTATCACAATAAAGATTGACTTCGATATTAGTAAAATAAAAAACTACTAACTCAAAAGAGCTCTTGCCAAATTGGCTCATTTACTCAACAAGATCCACCTAAGAGTGGCGCATTGATGAAGAAATCCTTTATACCTCAAATTTTTTTGATGTTTGCCATCACATTGATTGAAAAATCATTACATAACTAGACTGAAATGAAACATTTTTTTTTTAATTTGATTTTATTAGGGATATGTATACTATAATGTCATTTCTGATGAATATGTTCCTGCATAGTGAAGACCATTGTCTATTAATGTTCCTAGTTTGATTTTTATGAATTTTCCTAGAGAAATTCAATTCTCAATGAAATTATTATAAACTTGAAATTATTATTTTTTTTTTTTTGTTAATCTACGTTCATTTACTTCACCTCTATGGTATTGTTTTACTGGGAACTATATCTATATTTTGTAGGGGCATATCTTTTTTTTGATGATTGACATAATTAGTCTCTTTGGTGATGTTTGGATATGATTTGGCATTGTTTGCAATGGAGTTGGTACCTTGTAGAAATCAGTCATCAAAGGCATCAGAATCTGATCCTATTTTGTGTCGACCAACCTTCAATGATAGTTCTGAGGGGTCTGAGTCTTCATCTGAAATAAGAACTGTGGATGAGCTGCCTTAAAGAAGGCCTTTATATCCATCGAGGAAAGAGTTTATTTCAAGTTTGACTTGATTTAGGTTGAGCTGAATCTTGTTTTTGGTCTGATGAGGTTCACGTACAACAGGGATTGACATATATTTGAATTTTGATTGTATTGATTATTTTAGTGGAGGAATTATAGAAAATGATTTGGGTGCTCGTGTATTTGAACTCAAATTGAAGATTAAAACGTTTCGTGGAGCTTATGATGGCATTGGAGTTTGCTGGTATTATCAATTGGCCAAAGTTTCAATAAAAAAGTAAGGAAATAATGGGGAGTATGACGTTGATGCGCATTTTGTGTTTATTGGCAAGAAAACAAAAGATTGTTTTTTTGGTGGCTATGGATATATAAGCAAGAGAAAATAGGGAGGCCTATGCAAATAAATTTTGGAAAGAGAATGGCGAAAGGTAAAAATTGGAGGCAATGGTTAGTTTTATGCTCCTCACAAGTATTTTTATTGCAAGAAACCGTACTAATACCAAATGCTAAAAGATTGAAGGCATGGGGAGTTCACAAAGCTTACTGGGAGGCTATTGTATTGACAATAGAAAGGCATGGAATTTATTATAGTTAGGAAACTCTCTCTGCTGTGGATGCTATTGGTATATTTGCAAGGAACCATCCTAAAATAACAATTTATAATAGCTAGGCTAGTTATTGACCTGTCGTTCAGAGGTTTTTTACATCAAATTTTTTGTGCAATAAATAAAAAACTATCACAATAAAGATTAACGTGGATATTAGTAAAATAACAAAGTACTAACTCAAAAGAGCTCTGCCAAATTGGCTCATTTACTCAACAAGATCCACCTAAGAGTGGCACATTGATGAAGAAATCCTTTATATCTCAAATTCTTTTGATGATTGCCATTACATTGATTGAAAAATCATTACATAACTAGACTAAAATGAAACTTATTTTTTTTAATTTGACTTTATTAGGGATTTGTATACTATAATGTCATTTCTGATTAATATGTTCCTACAGAGTGAAGACCATTGTCTATTAATTTTGCTAGTTTAATTTTTATGATTTTTTCAAGAGAAATTCAATTCTTAATGGATTTTTAATAAACTTGAAATTATTTCATTTTATTTTTCTTTTGTTAATGTACGTTCTTTTACTTCACTTCTATGGTATTGTTCTTTACTGGGAACTATATCTATATCTTACAGGGGCATATCATTTTTTTGATGATTGAAATAATTAATCTCTTTGGTGATGTTTGGATATGATTTGGCGTTCTTTGTAATGGAGTTGGTACCTTGTAGAACTCAATCATCAGAGGCATCAGAATCTGATCCTATTTTGTGTCGATCAACCTTCAAGGATAGTTCTGAGGAGTCCGAGTCTTCATCTGAAATAAGAACTGTGGATGATGGTGATTGCGAGAATCTTGAAGCTGATGAAATCTCTAGTCTGGTGTTTACAGAACAACAATGTCGGATTTGCCTTGAAACTGGAGGTCCTTACTTAACATAGTTGGTATATTAAGTTCCATGGTATTTATTTTGTCTTAAGTGATTAATTGTAGTATAAAGTATAGCTACTTATGGCACATTAGAGTTTACTTGAACAAAAACTAAGAGAGTTTCTACATGTTTAGGTGAGGATTTGATTGCGCCATGTCATTGCAAAGGCACACAGAAGTATGTGCATAGATCCTGTCTTGACAATTGGAGATCGACCAAGGTTAAGAGTGAAATATTGAGATTTTGTTAATGTTATGCAGTTGTTCATGAACTTCTCTTACTTTTTTTTTATTTCAGGAAGGTTTTGCATTTTCTCATTGTACAGAGTGTAGGGCTGTGTTTATCTTGCGTGCAAATGTGCCCCCTGATCGTTGGTGGTTGAGAATTAAGTTTCAGCTCCTTGTTTTGAGGGACCACACACTCATTTTTGTTATTGTGCAGCTGGTATGGTTAATCGGTCTGCATTCTTATTGTTCTTTTGGAGCTTAATGGTTAGGTGTTGGCCTGTGCTATTAATTTAAAACATGGGTCTAATATTTTTTTACCAGTTTTCGAAATTTAATATCTACGATATGTGATAATACCACAGGTATGCTAGTTGTCTTTATTAGTATGTGAAGATATGTAATTTCTAGTTATTTGCATGCTGAACCTGCTCAATTATATTTTCCAACAAAAATTACCCAATTTCTTTCTAAATATATTTTTTTTCTTCTGAAGGTTGTCTTTTTTTGCAATATCTTCGTATTATCCTTTAAAGATGCGCAATTTATATCTTCTTTGTGTTATTTTCTATACTTTTTGGGATCTGAATATTTTGTTGTGGCACAAGCAGGTTGTGGCTTTCCTGGGTATGCTAGTTTACAGATTCTATGGCGATGAGCTAAGGGAAATGTTTGGTTACGAGGAGCACCCATATGGGTTTTACACCTTGGCAAGTATGACTAACTTCTTTAATTATACTATTTCTTCTTCTCTAGCTCTTCATACCTCTCCCTTTGTCCCACACAGGCTTTGCTAAATCTCGTTTCTATATGCACGTGTTTTTGTTTAGTACATTTGTGCTTCGCATGTGCGTGCTTTCACATACGAAAGAAAATCACCCATGTTTTATTTTTTGTTTAATTTTATTTATTACTTTAGCGTTGTAACTATAAATTGCTCGTTTTCAATATTTGTGGAGTCTTCTTAAACTGCCTGACTGTGGGTGTTTCTTTTCTACAAAGCATCTTTCCCTTCAAAACCAAGCAAAAAACAACAAAATGAAAGATTTTGCTCGGGATTTACAATTTTTTATCGTAATTCATATGTTTCTTCCTTTCTTGTCAATATATCATGTGTGGTTTCTATTTATTATAGGCATTGCTATGCCATTTGATTTTGTGATTGAATATATTAAGAAAATTATGTCGATTTATTTCTTGATTGAATTCAATTAAGCATTTCTCCATAAATGGATGCAGTTTCCATTTAGCAAACTTTTTAGAAATCTATATTATTTTTTTTTCTGCTTTCTTTCTTCCCTCCAAGCTCATCCTCAATAGATTGAAGGAGGTTAATGAGCTTTAGAATTTTCACATATTTTTACTGGTTTCTGGATGAAATTCTGCTTATTGTCCTTGCAATATGAGCTTGTGTTTTCTTGCTTCATTATTTTCTCTTGCATTTTATTCTCTTATTTTTATTTTTATGTTGAGATTTGGAATAGGCCAACATAATTTTATTGATAGGAGTATTTAAACCTAATTATAATAGGCATAATAATGAAAAATAATAAAAATAGAATAAAATAAATTGGAAAGAAAATAAAACAGAATAAAACACAAAAGGAATTACATAATTAGGGAATAAAATCAAATAATAAGTAATAATGACATAGGGATAGCTGTTATAATCTAATAATACCCCTCACATTGAAGCATAGATGTCAGTCATGTTCAACTTGGACTTGAAATCATTGAATAAAAGGTGAGGCAAATCCTTGGTGAGAATGTCTGCTAGTTGACCATTGGAGGGCACATTTAGAAGCAAATCTCCTCAAACTCAATCTTTTTCTTAATGAAGTGTCTATCAATCTCCACATGCTTGATACGATCATGTTGAACCGAATTGTGAGCAATGTTGATTGCGGTCTTATTATCACAGAATAAATGCAATGGCACAGAGATTGGCATACGGAGTTAGCGGAATATGATGCATAGCCAAAGAGCTTCACATATTCCTAAGGACATGAATCATAATTTAGCTTCAACATTACTTCGAGCAATCACAGACTATTTTTTGTTTTTCCACGTGACAAGATTGCCCCATACAAATAAGCAATACCCCAAGGGGAATGCCGTCCAACCTAATCAACATCTGTATAAGCATCAATAGATTGAGAGGTGTGACTGTAAAAGAACAAACCCGAGCTCGGTGTACCTTTTAAGGAGTGGAGAAATCAGTCGCAGCTTCAAGGTGGTGCTCGTAGGGGTCATTCATGAATTGACTCACTATTGCAACTGCGTGGCATATGTCAGGACGAGTATGAGCCAGTCATATGAGTTTTTCCATAAGATGTTGATACTGAGTTTTGTTGACAGTTACAACATTGAGAATGTTAGATAATTTTTTATTAGGATCTATAGGAACAACATGTTTGCACAGAAGAAGGTTGTTCTCAGTTTAGAGATCAATCACATATTTGCGTTGAGACAAATAAATTTCTCAAGAAAATTGAGTCACTTCCATGCCTAAGAAGTATCGAAAAGATCTCAAATCCTTCATCTCGAAAGATGAAGCAAGAATGACTTATAAGGACTCAAATGCCGAGAGATCGTTACCTGTAAGAATGATGTCGTCAACATAGACAATAAGGATAGCTACCTAGCTATTGGAGGAGTGCCGTAAGAAAAGGGTGTGGTCTGATTGAGCTTGAGTAAAACCATGACACATAATTACCTTTGTGAATTTGTGAAACCATAAAGAGACTTTCTTAGCCTGTACACTTGTTTTCTGGAGGTGGTAGAATTAAAACCCGGAGGAAGAGACCTGTACACGCTTCTGTCAGCTCATCATTCAAGAATGTATTCTTAACATCTAGTTGGAATAAAAACCAATACATTTCACTGCAAGTGATAACAAAACCCGAATAGTGTTTAACTTAGTCACTGGAGCAAATGTCTCCTCATCATTAACTCCATAGGCTGTGAGTATTCTTTGAAAACCAATCTTGCCTTATTGTATTCCAAGGACCCGTCAGAGTTGAACTTTGCGTTAAAAATTCATTGACACCCTATAACTTTCTTACCTCGAAGTAGGTCCACGAAATTCCACAGATGGTTCCGCTGAAGGGCATTTATCTCCTCCATTACTGCCATTTTTCAGGCTGGATCAACAAGAGCAACATCAATAGTAGCAGGGATCTGATGGTTTGTCTGGGTAGTAGCAAATGCTCTGTAGGTTGGCGATAAATTGTGGAAAGACACATTTTGTCATAGAATAGAGGGAGCATGTTCGATTGCTTACCTTACTTGGAGAACTCACCTCCTCATTCAGAGGAGAGGTTGTACTGAGGATATCGCACAAGGTGGAATCAAGATCTATAAGGAGGCAGCAGACTCCTGAGTTGGAACATTGGGAATTGTGTGTCGAGTGTAAACACGGACAATGGGATTAGGAGATGGTGCAATGAGAAAATGCAAAAACTTCCATAAGAGTAGGAACAATGGGGACAATTGGAGTGTCGGGAAACTCAAACTCCCCTCACTAAAGGCTGCCCTAGAGAAATATAGAACATTTTCAAAGAAGGAGACATCAACACTCACATAGATTCTATTTGTGGTTGGATCAATGCATCGATACCCCTTTTGAGTTGTGGGGTAATCTAGGAAAATATATTTTATAGATTTGGGATCAAGTTTACTCTGCGTAGGGGCAGTGTTCCGAACAAAGGTAGTGCAACCAAAAATTTTGGGATCTAAAGTGGAGGAGATCTGATTGGCATAGAAGCATGACATTAAGACGACTAAGGGGGTTTGAAACTTGTGAATTTTAGAAGGGACTCTCTTTATGAGATAAGTGACAATTAGAATGACATCGTTCCAAAAATATTTTGAGAAATTGGATTGGAACATAATGAAGCGAATAACATCGAGGAGGTGACGATTTTTCCTTTCGGCTACCCCATTTTGTTGGATGCTCGTGCAAGAATTATGGTGGAGGATGTCTTTACTCACCAAAAAATCACTCAAAATAGAGTTAAAAAACCCACGACCATTGTTGTTTCGAAGGACCAGAATAAGAGTTTTGAATTGGGTTAAGACAAAGGTGTAGAAATTTTGGAATGTCTCAGTAACTTCTGATTTGTCTTTTAAAATGTAGACCCGCATCATTCGAGTGTGACCATCAATTAAGGTCAAAAATCACTTTATTAGTGCAGCTGGGAGTGCAAGAAGGTCCCCATATGTCAATGTGAATGAGGTAAAAAGGAGCGGAAGGTGTGTAAAGGTGAGGTGGATAATGAACCTGGTGATGTTTGGCTATTTGACATGTCTCACAATTGAAATTATAGAGATTTTTACTAGAAAACATCATGTGATACAAAATTTTCAGATATTAAAAATTAGGATGACCTAAACGACATTTCCATGGAGTTGATCAGCCATGACTTGACCATAGAGTTCTCCACTTCCCAAGTTTCATATGTCGAGTCGGTCTTTGGAGGCTCACGAATCATACCTGTGATGTGACTGAACTTCCTACATTCTTTGATTAACATACAGACCACTTGAGAACATTGGAGGAAGTTACTGTCGTTCAACTTATGAGTTGTGATAAAAAAATTCGTGTTGCCTTCCGGTCCTTTGATTTGCACGAGAGTAGGGTTTGGAGTCGATCCTCCAGTTGAGTCAACAACACCTTCTGAAGGTGATTCATTGAAAGAATCAACCATAGTTCCAACAGAGCCAAATGATATATTGTTGTGAGCCATTGATGAATTTTGGTAGAAACACGAGAATCAGATACACTAGCAGGAATTGTAGGTAGCAGGAACCCTTCCTGCAGATCAGTGACAGAAGTAAATCAACAAGCAGAAGCTCTTTTTTGCAGATCAACGACAAAAGCAAATCAGCGGGCAGAAGCTTTTCCTGTAGATCCCCCGAAGAAGGAGCAGGGGATACCACTCTGGGCAGATCGGCGATGCTTCAAGTAGGCTTGCTACTTGAGCCTGTAGGGAGGCCAGCCGTGCTGTAGAGGAGGCTGGCAGTTTGAGCCTGCAGGGAGTCCGACTGCTAGGAAAAGTAGGCAGCTGCAAGAGCCGTCAGAGGAGGCCGGGGGCTGTTGGATCTTGTGTTAGGCTCTGATACTATGTTAAGATTTATAATAGATTAGCATAATTTTATTGATAGGAGGAGGTGTATTTAAACTCAAATAGAAAGTAATAAAAACATAATAAAAAAATTAGAAAAGAAAATAAAACATAATCTAACACAAAAAGAAATACATAATCAGGTAATAAAATTAAATAATAAGTAATAATGACATCGGGATAGCCATTATAATCTAATAATTTCTATGGAGATTTATACTTATAATTTTCTTGTAATGTTATTTGAAAATGAAGCATTAAACATGTTGATGACATTTTCTCTAGTGGTTATAATTCACCTTATCTGAACTATTATGAATTGTTTTATGAATTATCATTCTCAATTCATTTTTATATAACGTTATATGTGATGTCGAGTTTATTTTGCTTAGTTCTTTTTCCACAACTTCTCATGTAACCTTTAGTTTATCCCTTTTTATTTCTTATCCTTTCATATCAATTTTATTGCTCATCTTATTGGTGCATCGTTTTCTTTTTAATAGTATGTATTGATGCTGCAGAGTTTTTGCAGTCTATAAAATCTGAGGACTCCATACTATATTAGCTTACGAAATACAAACATACACATGCCTGAGAATATGCTTTTAACATGAGAAAACCCTAGTGGATAAAAATCTATACGCCTTCTCAAGTTGTAAAGCTCCATAATTGATCAGAATGGTTTTCTCATAATTGGTTAGGAGGGACTAATTTATAAGTTTGCATCTCATTTAGAATGATTAATGGTGACATCGAGGGCACCTATGTTGGTCCTTCTATGTCTGTTGTTGACATAATAGAATTGTGTTATGGTAGGACGTGCGAAATCACTGCATAACATAATTGCTGCTATTGTGATGTGTAAAATGGCTATTGATGGATTTATAAGCAAGATTGTCAAAGTCAGAGTTTTCATTAGATCTTTAATTCATATGGAAAAACGTAAGAAGCGAAATGAAAATGAGCCTTTTTTATAACTTTCTAGAGGTTCAAATGGGTTGTCATCTAAATATTACGTGTTTATCGATACGGAATCCTTACATGATTAAATTTGATCAAATCATGCTGTTCTTTGGCAAGCCGAATTGATTCACTCGAACTTGGCAGTTGATGGCTGTTACTGATGTCAACAATGATTCAGACCTCAAATCGATACTGATTTATGTAGGATGAATTCTTCAGCAATTATGATCTCACATAACCGTCTAAAATCATTCTGAAGATGCGCGCTTACCTTCATTGAAATGCTTTGTGGAATTCAGCCATCTCTAGCAAATGGTGAATAATGTCAGTTTTGTGAGATCATAAATTGTTAGGCGAGGAAGCGAGGTTTGTGTTTATATTGAGGAATTTGAATTATAATTTATGCAATTAAGAAGAAACCATCTTTATGCATTTAAATAGGACTCGAGCACAGCTGTGCAGGAATGATTTAGTTCATCACATTCACCATCATATTCTCTAGCGACCTACGATTATTGGGCTTTTTCATGCATAACGCCCAATTATTATTTATTTACATATCTAACACCTAAACTTTAATTATTGCATTATACAACCCAAATCTTTCATATCACAGAAAAATACCACTATTTTAACTTTTAAAAAGTGAAATAATCTTTTCATGTATGTAATAATTGAAGTTTAGGTGTTTGATATGTAAATACAAAAGAATCTTCCTTTATTATTTTATCAAGTTGCCTTTTCTTAGGTATTGGAATAGTTTTATGCTAGATATGGCTTGTTTACTTTTTATCTTGTATTCTTTTTCTTATTATCTTTATTTAATGGCCATGCTGCCAGGTGCCAACCTGGTTTAGGGAAAATATTTATGTCATGCTACTAATAGTAATGCACTTTTTAAACAAAATAAAGATGTAATTCCTAAGTGTCATCAGCTTTATTTTTTTTGCCTTTAACTGACCTTTTATGTTCTGTTGCTTGTTAGCCTTGGCTGTTATCTTGGTGGGTTTGCTTTATGGATTCTTCATAGCCATAATTTGCGGACAGAGGATCAATGAGCGCCATTACCATGTTCTAGCAAAGCAGGAACTAACAAAGGTAGACTATGATTATGGCAGTTCTTGTTTTGCATATCTTAACCATTTATGTGACTGAGTTAGGCCTATCAATGGTCAGTTCTGATCATGTCAACCATGTTCCAAATTTGATTTGGATTAACTTTTGTGGGAATTTGGTTTTCTATTTTAGTATTATTCTCTTTTATTCCCTTCTTATTATGTCATATTTCCTTCTTCCTTGAATTATATTTTTTTAATAAGTTGTAATTATTGTAATTAATCATGCCCTAGGCATTCCTTATAATATAAGGAGGAGAGTTGTAATTTGATTTTTGAGAAATAAGGGAGTACAATTTTTTGTGCATTTCTATATGATATCAAAGCATCGAGTTCGGCTTCAACGAGAGTAGGGCAGTGTTCATCATCCGACTTTGGCTTAGTTTGGATCACTCGAGCGCTTCATCCGCTCACCAGGATTGTTTGACTGCATAGTTCGCTCTTCTGGATTGCTCTACCATGTCGTCCGCTTATGGAGATAGCTTGACCATGTCATTCGCTCATTGGGATCGCTCGACCACGTCGTTGTCTTGTTAGGATCGTTCAACCACATCGTCCACTTGTCGGAATCACTCGTTTGTGTCGTCCGCTTTTCTAGATCGCTTGAATGCTTAGACCACTCTTCTAGTTAGTCGTTTACTTAGTCTGAAGCATCTTTAGGCTTTGTTTGAATCTTATGGCGGTCCTCATTCGACGACTCTCCTATCCCTCTTAAATTCTCTCTGCAAGCATCTTGCAAACATCTCCCTATAGGATTTCAGTTCTCTACAGGTGTCTCCGTATGAACGTAGATCTTCCTTTCCTTGCAGTTGCACCCGACAGGAACTTTCTTCCCTACAGACTGCCACTAGCTAGCATGCATAACCTCCTTTCAGCTACCCCACCGGACCTTTTCGAACAAACAAAGGAGCTGTTTTTTCCAGTTTTTCGTCACTCAGCCAAGCAACACATCAGACACGAAGTTTTTTCAACCCTAAATATGCATAGGATCAATGCAAAGTACGGAATGAAAATGTCTAACTCTACTCTAGAGGTGCTCAAGAAACTTCTTTTGAGCATAATTGAGCGGCTAACTCATTTGATTATACACCAAAGTATCATGACCTCCTTCTATCTCACTAACAATGAAAGATTTCAAACTTGGATAATAGATTCAAATGCTTCTGATCACATAAATGGAGATATTCATGCTCTCACTAACTCAAAATTTGGTAGACTTGCTCTTGTATCTCACTCTAGGATTATTGGAAAATGAAAAGTGAAAGTCTCAAAAGATATTCAGCTCTCTTATGTACTATATGTTCTCCAATTAGATTACAACTTTAAATTGGTAAGGTTACTCAAACTTGAATTGTGTTGCTAAATTTTATTCGAATTCTTTTAAATTTCGTGTGGTGAATTCCGAGAAGTGATTGACAGTGTTGAATTGAATCAAGTTTTATACAAGCTCAAGAAAAAGCTATTCTCTTAACACATAAGTGTCTTCACGGTCATCTTTTCATGTTTCTATGTCTATTGTGTCTGAGTATATTGGAAGTTAGGTTTTATTATGATATTGTCGTCTAGGTCATCCCAATTTTCATTATGTTGCAAAGTTGTATTATCATCTTTTTATTAATAAATGGTTAAGAGTTTTACCTATCAATTGGTTAAACATACTCGTCATGTCTACTCTCTATCTCAATATGAATTCTCACAGCTTTTCCCTTTCATCTATAGTGATATTTGGAGATCATTGAAATTGAAAACAATTAATAGAGTCAGATGGTTTGTCTCATTTATTAATGATCACACTAGAACTAGTCGGATATTCCTCATAAAAAAAATTCTGAAACGACACATATCTTCCAGTCCTTCCATAATATGATTTTCACCCGGTTCCAGTGCAAATTCAAATCTTTAAAATTGATAATGCAAATGAATACTTAAATTTTTTTCATTGGACTCTACCTTGCAAAGAATAATATCATACATGTGAGTTTTTGTGTTAAAACTTCATGACAAAATAAGATAGATGATAGTAAGAATATACATCTCCTAGAAGTATCTAGGTCCATAACTCTTTCTCAAAATATCCCAAAAGTTTTTGGGGTGATGCCGTGTTGACCGCCACATATCTCATTAATAGAATGTCAAGCAAAGTTCTTGAATTCAAAGCCCTTCTTGATATTATGATAGAAATTACCTTCATGTCAATCTTCTCATCCTACAAAAAATATTATAACTTTATGTATGTTAATTTCTTTTAAAACCAATCTTATTGCCCAAATATGATATTCAGGGGGAAAGTTTGAGTGAATATCAAACTTGGGACACTACTCTGTATACCCACACAAATCTATTCATCACAATCTATTCCACCTCCTATACTACTTAGGATACTCACGCTTTTTATTTCTTTCTAACTATTCTGCCTCCCAAGTTCCACTAGTTGAACATCCAACTTGAGATTGACAATGAGAAACTTCTTGTGTACTAGGAGGAAAAAATCCACTGAACATGATAAAGACAATATGCAACCACATGATTGTTTACAACCAAACTTGAATTCACCCATTACTGAAGTTCGAAGGGAGGTGGAATCTGGTGGAGAAGACATGAAAAGTTGCACAAATTATCTTATCCAGTAGTATGTTGCATATGAGAAGTTATCAACTTTTAAAGCATTTGTATCTATACTTTGATAGTGTGCAGATACTCAAGTCGGTTTATGAAGCACTTCAAAATCCATAATGAAAAAAAGTTGAAGAGGAGATCTAAACTCTTGACCTTTACTAAGCTTCCTTCAGTTAAAAGACTTGTTAGATGCAAAAGGGTGTTCAATGTCAAGTAGAAAGCAAAGGAGAGCATCAAAAGGTTCAAGGTTAGGTTGGTGGCCAAAGGTTTCGCTCGGTTTTATGGGATAGACTTTCAAGAGGCCTTTGTTCCAGTGACTAAATTAAACACTGTAAGAAAATTTTTTTTTTCTTGATAGCGAACAAAGACTTGGAACTACTTCAACTTGATATCAAGAATGTATTTGTGAATGAAAAAATTGAGGAAGAATTGTATATGAAAATCCCACTATGACTGGAAAATGACTCAAACAAACATCGGGCTTGTAAACTAAGAAATTCTCTTTATGACATCAAACAATCTCCAAGGGCTTGATTTGACAAGTTTGCGAAGACTATGAAATCTAATGGTTACATTCAATACCAGATGGATTATACATTTTTCAAAAAGCACACAGAGGGTAAGAATGTTATTCTCATTGTCTATTTAGATGACATGATCTCGATAGGTGATGATGAAAAGGAGATTTGAAAGATTAAGGGGTTCTTGCCACTGAGTTTGAAATTAAGTATCTAGAAGCGATGGGATACTTACTGGGCATGATAGCGGCCAGGTCAAAAATGGTTAATGTGATATCCAAAAGAAAGTATATCATCGACCTACTAAGTGATAAGAATGTCGGGGTACAAACATGCTGAGACTCCTATGGATCTCAACAAAAAGTTACATTCAGGGGGAAAAAGACACGAATGGAAAAGTGTAGATACCAGAGATTGATAGGTAAGCTTATTTATCTATAACTAGACTTGATATTAGTTACTCTATCGACATTGTGAGTTAACATATGAATAGTCCTAATAAAGAATATTTGGAGATGTTTTACATAATATTGAGGCTTCTTAAGAACACCTTGACAGAGAGTTATTGTTTAAGAAATCAGACATCAAGGAGGTAGAGGTTTATACTGATGCTAGTTGGCCAGGAAAACCCACAGACTGAAGATCCGCTTTTGGGTATTATTCGTATGTTTGGGGAAACCTTGTTACTTGGAGAAGCAAGATACAAGTAGTGGTCTCTAGAAACAGTACAAAATCTAAGTATCAGACATAAGCTTTTGGGAATTTGTAAAGGAATGTGGATCCAAAGGTTTTGAGCTGGGTACTCCACTGTCAATTCCATAAAGATGTTTTGTGATAGCCAAATTGTAATTAGTATTGCATAGAATCCTGATTGAGATTGATAGATATTTTACCTCTAAAATGGTCAATGGAGGTTTTATTTATTTAATCTACATTCTAACTTATCTTCGAATCGTTGATGTCTTCACTAATTCTCTACCTCCAGGCAGCTATACTTATTTGAATTTCATGTTGGGTTTTTACAATATCTATGACTTGGTATGAAGGGGAGTGTAGAATTGTGAGTTCCCTGTTTTATTTTTATTTTCTTTTATTCCATTCTTATTATGTCATATTTCTTTCTTTTTTGAGTTATTTTTCTTTGAAAAGTTGCAATTGTTGTAATTAATGATGCCCTAGCTAAGGAGGAGAGTTGTAATTTGATCTTTGAAAAATAAGAGGATACGATTTTCTCCACCTTTTTACATTTTTTGACCTGGCGGATTGTCAGATGGATCAAGGTCTATTAGTCTCAGATGTAGAGTAAATTACTTAATATTATATATTATGTTTTAAGAAATGGCATGGAGTTGAGGTCCCACTACATGATGTCAAAATTTTGTTCAGTGGTGCAACCAAGGGGTAACTGACTAGCTACCCTAATATTTAGAGTAGATTGCTTAATATTATATACTATGTTGATAATTGTCGCTCAACTTAAATTTATAATTATAATTTAATATCAATCATATTTAAGATTAATTATCAATGGAGTTTTAATGTAAAAGCAATAATTGATGATTTTGATGTATTGAAGAAATGACGGTTAGATGAAAATATTTTTTTCTGAAATTTTTCTTTATAGGTTGTTCTCAGTTATTTGTATTTTTTTGTTGAGTAAAGTGTCAAAAATAGTAATTATAATGGTTCATTTTAGTCTCAGGTAAATAAAAATTCTAAATTAGCCCCCGCAATGTTTTAACGAGAGCTGAAATAGTCCACATTGGGGATTCATTCAACCCATACTAAAAAAACTTGGGGACTAGATTGACACTTATAAACTCTGGGACCATGATGCTTTTCTCATTCTTAGTCTCTTCATGTTAGCTCTTTAACTTCTAATTGAGGTTTATTTTAGAAAACTTTTGGTTTCATCAGAGCTTTTTTTCAAAGCCTAATTCCTCCACTAATTTTGGCATTTAATAATTAGCAGAAAAAATATAGTATTGCTCGTCAGAGGAAAGAATCTCGGAAGTGCAAGCTTTCGGTTATTTGTCAATCTTTTCAAAGTGAAAACAATGACTTCGAGCTCATCCTAACGTAAAATAAGATGCTTCTTCTGGACCATGAATGAATCATTTAGTTTTTAGCGCGTTAAGGCCTTCAAAGCAATCCAAATGATATAACTAGTCTTATTTTATGGGAAAATCATTTCTCAGGAACTACTGTGCTGTTTTCTTTTTTATCTATGAGCTGTGCCTGTTTTTGTATTAATGTAGCCACCTTAATTAAAAAACATCTGAAAATAACGCTTCCTGATATTCTTGTCAATGGTCAGGAATATGTGGTACAAAACCGAGATGAAGACAAGGATCCTCCAGAGCTTGATCCCGGTGATCTTATGGAGTTGAGAATTATGGGACTATATTGAAATGAAGTTTTTCCGGCTCTCCTTGGTAAGTTTAGCTTTTTTTTTTTGGGGGGGGAATTTACATACATAGCACCTACATAGCACCCAATTCTTATGCATTTACTTAACCCACACCCAAACTTTGATTTTTACATGCTAAGCACCTTTTCGCATATATGTAAAAGTGGAAATAGTGTAATCCACCTTTTTATACATAGGTTAGGGTGCGTATCATGTAAAAATTAAAGTTTGGGTGTGAGATAAGTAAATTCCTTTTTTTTTCTTTTTTTCATATGTCTGTTTATATGGATCCCTTTCAGATGAATCTGTTTAGGTTTGATAATTAAGTTGTGTTAATTTTTCAATCATAATATACTTTGATTGGACTGATTGGAATGCAAGTTATCTGCCCAATTTTCATGTTTCTCCAATTTAGTCCCATCGCTTCAATGAGCTAGTTGGTTTATGGTGGAAAAGCTGAAAACTTTGGATCACTAGCATAACCAACTTGCTTTTGTCTCATCTTTTGTGCACGGTCACTTCAAAAAAAAAGTAAGGAAGATTTACGCACTACCCGTTCAATTCCGATGCATTTACATATCCGTCACTCAATTTTTACATGCATGCTGCCTTACTCATGCACTTTTTATAAAAGTTAAAATGGTGGTATTTTTTATGTGCTATGAAAGATTTCGTTGGTGTAAATGTAGAAAGTAAAGTTTAGATGCTAGATGTGCGAACACATGGCAATTTGTTGTTATGTATGTAAATGCGCCAAACAATAATTAAAAAAAAAAAATAATACCAGTGATTGCCAGGCTTGCATTGTCAAGTGCAGTGAACCACTGATTGCCTTCCTAAATTAATTCACTTCCATATCTACTAATGTTACTTTCATTTTCAATGGTGACATTTAATCAATAAACAATGGGATTTATATTTTTGAAACATTTTGAATTTAAAAAAAAAGAATTTTTTTCAAAGAAAAACTGGCTGGCTGATGTGGTACATTTATTTATAAGGTTTTTCTTATGTTAGAGATTATATTTAATCAAACCATTTATAAGAACCTTAAAGTTTATCTATAATTCATGCTTTATTATTATAAATTATAGAGAATTACTGACAGGAGGTTTTTTCATTTCAGACCTTAACTTTTGGTGATTTACTGCGCATCTAATTACATGGTTGCAAAAGATTTCAGGAGCTAGTCAGCAAGTTGCTGGAAATCTACAAGATTGTGAAGATTGAAATGTGAAGAGTAGCTGCGGTTGAAGAAAAAATAGAGGAATTTTTTTTTTTTTTGATATTTTTGAATTTTTTTATAGCAATGATGCTTTTTATTCTTTGGGGAAGAATAATTATTTTAGATTATCGCACTCTACCAGATGTAAATTTTTTTTTTATAAACTTTACATTTAAAAAAGGGGTCTTACGGAGGTTGTTAAAATTGCAATTTACAGTTTCAATTTGTAGTTATGATCTGAGTTGGCGTGTAGCATGCGTATTTTTTTCTTGATCGGCATTAAACTGCTGCTCAGTTCACAACTAAAAAAAAAAACCATTGCTTGTTAAGTTGCTTGAGTGAAGTTGAGCAATTAAGCTCCATTTTTTTTTTTTTTTTTTTGGGTTAAATTGGTCTTGATTTCACTGTAAACTGACAAATTGCTTTCTAGTTAATATAAATGCTTTCGTAATGATAAAAGTTGATATGTATATGTATACCTCGGTTTGTTGTTTGGCATTCATGGAATATGACCCCTCAGGTCGGAAGTTTGAATCCCCTCTATCACAATTGACCTTAAAGTGGTGGTATTTGAATTGTTAGACCCATTAAGGGTGATTGCAGGCTTGTATGATAACTTATGGCCATTCCTTTTAAATAATATATATATATATATATATATATATATATAGAGAGAGAGAGAGAGAGAGAGAGAGAGAGATTCCACACAAATGTTATGCCATAATTTTAAAAGGTTCGTGATAATGATATTTTTTATATGATATCAATAATTTGAGTTTTCTGTATGCAAATATGAAAGTTTATGTAGGCAAATAATTAAATCCGTCACTAAACAGCCCCCTAGAGAAAAAGAGGCAGCTTACAAGCTAATAAACTGGCTAATAAAATGTTTTCGAGTCAACCAAGATATAAAAGTCTGATCTCAAGCTGTTACAGAGAGCAGCAGTTAAAGCATTTTCCGTGAAAGAAGCATGTTTTCAATAATAGAATTGCAGATTGAACAATACTGTAACAACAGATACTGTACATGTAACTAAGTACAAGATTTAACTGAGAAATATATTTATAAAAAAAAAATTCAGAAAAAGGGCCCCACACCTCACTGAGATTCTGTCTCTTATTCGAAAGATGTTATTGCTTGGCCATTAGTCCTCATCGGATTGAGCTTCAGGTCCGCCTGCAGTTTTGGTCAATATCTTCGTTGAATGATGTTTAGGCATCACACCTATATGATGAAAAATAATTAAAATTTTCAAAGTTGAATGTATGCGTATTATAACCTTATCTCAAACAATATATTATAGTAAGATTTACATACCATACCTTAAGCTCTTGTGTATTTACATATCTAACACCTAAGCTTCAATTTTTACACATACGACATGCAAAGCAAGCTCTAGAAAAGTATGCAAGCTTTCTCCCTCCATCCCTCCTTCGTTCAAATGATGTAAGAAATGGCGAACTGAACAACCACACATAAATAAAATGGAGCTCTATTCAGCTCCATTCAGTAAACTTTCCAGTAGAACATGAACTTATCGAGCCACTGAATATGAATAATAAACATTATTAAAGGCCATAAAGTATGTTAAGAATGTTCTGATCTGCGAGTTCATTTGAATGAAAAAAAAAAAAGTGATATTTACATAATTTCCTCTACAGATTTAGAAAACATAACACTTATATTTTCGGACACCCTACTCAGAAACAAACTACATTGGATGCTTCTCTCTCTCTCTCTCACTCACACACAAGTAGTCAGAAACAAGCCTCTTTTAATCCTCTCTCCCTCCCTCCCTCCTCCTTTCTCTCACAAAAAAGTGATCTTTACATAATTTCCTCTAAGATTTAGAAAACATAACATTTCTATTTTTGGACACCCTACTCAGAAACAAACTACACTGGATGCTCCTCTCTCTCTCTCTCTCACTCACACAAAAGTAAACAGAAACAAGCCTCTTGTAATGCTCCCTCCCTCCCTCCCTCTTTTCTCTCTCACAAAAGATTGTGAGGAACAAACCTCTGAAACTAACTGTCAAATGGTATTTTGCTAAGATAAAGCAGAGCTTAAAAATATTTGGAATTTTGGCCTTTAATTGTTGGCGATTTGGACTTTAATTGTTTTAAAATATTTGGAATTTTGGACTTTTTAAAATAAAATAAAACATCCCTCGTCTAAATTTTAAAATAAATTGTAATGTATAGTTTTCAAAAATTTAGGTTTTACGGTTTAAATGTCGAGGATCTGGGTTTTTTAAATATTTAAGCTCTTTAGGTTTTAAAAAAATTTTAAATTATGGCTTTTAAAACATACAATTTCACGGCTTAAAAATATTAAAAGTCCGACTTAAAATTTGAGCTCAGAAGACTTAAAAATATTTTGAATTTGAGTTATTCAAACTTAGGCATCAAGGTGCGAAGCATGATTCAAATATGAAGTATTCTTAAATTTTGAAATTAAAAATCGCCAACAAATTTGCAATTTGTGCTAGCAAACAAAAGGCGATCATTTTAAAACTTCAAATCAAACAAAAGGCGATCATTTTAAAACTTCAAATGAATTTATGTAAATGCAAAAACATCTTTGGAAATATTTCAAATTTTGAGTACTTGCAAGGTATATAAATTTCAGGAATACTTTCTAAAGCAAATATGGAATGCAATATTTGGAGATCCATGAAAGTATTTTAGAACTTGCATGAGTTAAAATTTGATTACTCCAAATAAATCACTATGCATGATTTCAAATTGCTGCACATGTTTCTTTATGAAATGAATTGTCTCTCAAATACATATTTTAAATTAGCATCCAAGTCACTCAAATGATGCAAAATCTTTGAAAGTATGCTAACATATAAAGTCAAATGCCAGTATGTGCTTCAACCAACATATTAGATGCTCAAATATAGGGTTCGAGAATGTTCCGTGGGCTAATCAGGCCGCCTCATCTATGGGACATAGTTGTAAGTCCCACTTGACTAATCCGAGCATCCTCCCCGTAAAGACTACAATTGAGAAGTCTAATAAGCACAAATAAATGTTCAAATACTAAATATAAAAATTTACAAATCCAAATCACCTAGTCGGATCCTAAGGATAGGAATCGAAAGGACTTCTACTTTGAAAAGCTTAAACTAACAAAAGTAAATGTCACCCTTCAAATATAAAAACACTAAAATGTTTGAATCACCAATGATAGTTGTGTTGATATAAGATTTCAACCGTACGGGGTCAATCTTTTAAATCAAAATTTTTAAGTAGTCAACTAAAATACTCAAGTTAAAAGAAATCACTAAAAGCTAAAAAGCAAATTATATCCACCTTCTGCAATAGTTTGTCAAGGTGAAAACTTATGATTGACTTCAATTCACAAAGAGCAAACATCATATCAAATGTATCAATATATTCACAATCAAAACAACTGCACGCCAGTAAGGACATGACCGAGTCCTCTATCTATGTGGTTGTGCCGCCAAATGAAACCACAAAATAGCGGTTACAACTAGAGCCCTCTGACCAAGTGGTTGTCACTAAAGGGCACCATTATATTATCGTTATGGCTTCCCAATATTTTTCTACCCTTTGAATTGTGAATCATAAAGATGCAATTGATTGATATAAAGTCTTCTGTTAGCTAAGGTCAACTAAAATTTGTCTGTTTAGACAAATATTCACTTCAGATCTACAAAGAAATCTTGAACGATGCAACTCATGACTGTTGACAAGAATTCTTTTATCAGGTTGTGCGACTATCTTCTCTTACTAAGTAAATCAGGGACCATAACGACCAGAGATGATAGAAAAATGTGATCTTGATCGGGTTTCGTCTTCATTCCCCCACTATCGGCTTCAAGCTTCAAGTGATAAATTTTGCAATTTAAATCATATGCCTGTTGTTATTATATGTTCAATTTTCTATTTTTAATGACTAGCCTTAATCAAAATTACTCTCCTGTTATCGGAATGAGTAATTAATCATAGGGGCTTGTGCTTATGGGAAACCTCGAACCTCAAATCAAAAAATCCTCGCAAAATGAGGATGAAATCTCTGGATAATGTCTTATCTACAATCAAATTAGTCTTCTGAAAATTTAACCCTCCGAAATTCTCTCCAAATAAAATAAAAAATAAATGCAAAGAGTTTTCTCGGGAAAGCGGTCGTGAATTTTCAGACCCCACATGTTATGCTTGAGAGCCTACTTATAGGTTTTCAGTCAATCGGAAATCTAGATGAGTATTATATCCATATCATTTCCATGATGTATTTATTTTCCTGTTATAAAGAAGGTTGTTAAATGAAAATCAGCTAAAAACACCCCGGCAAGATTGGAAGGAAAACATGATAAATAAAACATTGTAATTTCTGAGAAGTAAAGGTTGAGAAGTAAAACATTAAGACTACAAACAGTCCTTTCCAGCACATCCATCTTCCCAAAAATCAGCAGCAGGTTAAACATGCTTTAAACCTTCCGAAAAACAAGATGTAAAGCTAATTATATTTTGGATAAAAACACCATCTCATAGTTAGACAAGCTATTCCACGCTTCATGTGCTCATGAAATTGTAGAATGGTGAAACTTCCAGGTGGGAATTTCCCAATTTCAATTCCTACACGAAGAACTACTTATCAAAAGAAAAGAAGCCACTTAAGTGGTAACGACAGCTCAATCTAAATATACTTCAGTTTCAATCTAGTTAAACACGTGTGTAAATTTGTATCGGTAAGGCATTTGAATTATTGATGGAGAGTACTATCGCCTCAACTCAAAGGTAATTGGGTAACTATGCTGAAGATTTTGAAATTTACTCATTGCATAAATAAGTTCAAACACTTAAGTGGGAATGACAGATCAATCAAAATATAAAGAAAACAAAAAATCATTATGAGAATCAAACCAAATATACAAAACAGCTAAGAACTTAAAATTTCAAATTGATGATAAAAAGGAAAAAAGTTTGTTCCCATGTTTAAAAGGGATGTGAGGTGCCCACCTTACAATTTTCTGGCATCAGTAAGGGTTAGGTTTTTTTTTTTTTTTTTTTTGGTTTGGGCGTTTGGCCTGGGAGATTATTAGGTTTGGGCCGTATGCCCTGAGAGACTATATGCCTCAAACATGCATAAGTTAAACATATCAAATTAACATTTACTTAAAAATATACACTCTAAAGTTAAATATAAAAGCGATTAAAGTTTAGAATGGTTTTGAGATTGCTGCTTTTAAGTTTTTTAGTTTTTAATTATTTTTCTTTTAATTTTTTAACCAAATTTATATATTTTTTTTAATTTTCTATTATCTACTTCTTTTTTTCTTTTTAACATATTTTTTCCATGTTTCTTAATTTAACTTTTTAGTTTTCTTTTCAATAGTTTTTTTTTCATTTTTTTTAATTATGTTTATTATATTTTCATCTTTTTTTCCCTTTCATTATCATTAGTTTTCTTTTGTCTTCTTTTATGATTTTGGCTTTTAATTTTCTTTTGAACTATTCGTTGCTAGCGTATGCCATGTTTATGAATCTTCTTTAACTATATATATTTTTTTAGTTTGAGATTTATATCTTACCTTGATAAAATAAATGCCTCAATTCTTGATTTCGCCTTTTCAAACCTTGGTTTGTTCACAATGTACCCATATCGCTGATGAAAAGTTGGCAACAAAATTAAAGATAGGTTCTATTTAGTAAGTTGCCAAAAAAACAAACAATATCATCAGGTATACCATTCAGACAAGTGTGCGAGTGAAATTTAAAATAGGAGTCAACTGTGTGAAACTTCACATAAACAAAAAAACTAAAGATATTAAACAAAATATCTGATTTTGTTTCAAAGTAAAATTGATATTTTTATTCACCGTTTCGCTCATACACTTTATAAATTAGCTGCAAAACACGAATGAGATGGTTTGCCAGACATGGACTGCATGGTGAACAAAACTAATGAAAAAAATAAATGAGAATTGAATGTATTTATTAGCAATAGTTTTGGCAGACAAAAACTAGAAAAATGTTGATGAAAAGTAAATGTAGCAATTTTATAACAAATCAAAAACAAGAAAGTGAATTTACATAAGTCAAAGCAAATCATGAAGAGTATGATTTACATCAAAAAGTTTATGTTTAATATGAATACTTTAATGTTTATTCTTTAAAGCATTCTGATACCCTGTTCGCTTTGAAGTGAATTTCATTACACTCTAGAGTGCACTTTTTAAATTGTAGCATCAATGATCTTCTTACATTATGACAACATAATCCATGCAACATAGCCGGCCTAATAGTAATTTGGTAAATTTATCTTTCAAGTCTCTCTAATATCCCATTATTGTATAATGCTGCTGAAATATAAATTTTTTAATTATAACCACATAATCTAAACTCTAAAAGATATATCTCCACTATGCAATATTATAGATCCAAGATATTTTAAACAATAGCACTTAGTCATCATTTTATTTTCTTCGAATAATACTAACAGATAATTATTGATAATACAATCACTTAAATTCTACATAATAGATTCAATCCTAGTTCAAATAATCTCAAGTGCATTATCTTCTATAAATATTCTCCATTGTTATAACTTTCCAATCAAATCAACAAATATCAATCCAGCTAGAAATATGTTATGATATATTTCTATTAAAATTGTAAACACTTTGTCACTTCACTACAACTTTCAATTCTAATCAGTGTTATATCATTAAAATCCTTAACAACACAATATATTTTTCACACTTTTCCCTTTGATGGACACCAAATCAATCTTCATCGTACTAGATCATATATTTTCTTCAAATCAACAAAAAATCAAATAAAAATAATTTCGAAACACTACTTAATTCTACATCAATCAATAAATTAATAAAGTGGAATGAAGAATCTGAAAAACCTCGCCACAAGCAACCAAATGACAACTCGACAACGGGTCAAAACTGATTATCACCGCATGAACTAACCTCCATTCGATATCTTCTATGCTACATCATAAACCTAAAACCAATCAAACTATCAGCGAAAGTCTCCTGTATCTTACCATCCACGAAGTACGATAACGACGGCCACCCTCGACGGGAGCTGTGAGAAAGCACCTCCTCCTTCGTCAGCGACTCCTCCAATCTACCAAAAATCCCCGGAACAAAGCCTTGACTTCGAGATCTCGGCGGTATCCAGTAAGAAGAGCCCGGAGCGAAGGGTAGCCATATGGGAGCAGATTTATGGACGAAGAATACCTCGATGGCCTCTTCCAGCCTACGCGTGGTTGGTATCTCTACATCTACGTTGGAGGCATCTGTTCCCTGGCTTAGATCGATCTCTATCAGTTGGCCGGCCTTCGGCTGGTCCGAGTGGCGGCGGATACCGACGCGGCGAGACGAAGGTGAGTAAGCGATGCTGCGGAGGAGGTGGCCGAAGGCCGAGCGGTCACAGGGCACTGATCGGGTATTGCGAAGTAGGGCTTGGGATAAAGGTCGAGCCATATCGAGAGGGAGATGGAGAGAATGGAGAGTAGAGAGAGAGTAAAGGGTTTTATAGTTGGAGCCGTCGACGAAATAGAGTGGAAGGTTGGAGAAGCTGACCGTAGAAGTAAAATATATGAAGATAAATGATACCCCTTATTTATTTACAAATTTAATATTTATATTTAAAAAATTTTGATTTCATAACCTTATTCATTCGAGAATATGCCTATATAGCTTGTAAGGAGATTCAATATTTCAGAAGGAAGAAATAATATCAAAGAAGGGTCCACCGAAAGGAAATCAAGAGGCTCCACTTATCTAACCAGATGCAACCATCCGAGCCGAGAGCAAATGCTAACCGAGCTAGAAGGATAAAAAGAATGATTTGGTTTAGGTTGATCGAGCCCGGTCAAACAAATCAAACATGAGTAAGGACTTTGATTTATCATCATCATTAATTGTCCCACAGATGCCTTTGAGGTATACCTCAATATGGACCAAGAATTAGAAATGCAATGGAGCTTCACAATCTTCCCTTAGATTCTCGTTGTTGAAAAGTGAACTAATTGTCGATTTACAGTGATTCACTCTATGCCCGATAGCTTAGCATTGCTCGATCAGCAAGAATCTCTCATCAGAAATCTAGAGTTGGAAGTTATTAGATAAGTCAACAAGCAAAGTTCAGCCGATCGATTAGCTAGTAGACCCGAAGCCAAACCAACAAACTCGACATAGCCGACCGAGCCAAAGTCTAACAAGCACAACTATATAAAATACCTAAAATATCCTTAACGACCCCATAAAGGACAAAAATGTAACATCACATATTGTATCATTTCTCTCTCATATTATGAGAAATGACTAGTAAATAAAATGTTTTGTTGCTCATTCTTTCTCTATTTTTTTCAATTTTTATGCTCTCATCATCAGGGTGTGATTCATGAACAAATGAATTCAAAAGTAATGATGATACTATTTTCAATGTAATGTTAAAATTTTGAATGATATGCGTATAAATATGAAAATTTAAGCATTTTTCGCTCTGTGTTGACCTGATTTTTTTTTAATTTAAAATTAATTATATATAAGCTTTTCTTAATATAAATTAGTTTTTTTTTCTTTTATAAGATACTTTTATCAGAAGATGTCTTCTAATTTGATGAATATATCAACACATTAAAACTGATCTTATATTCGGATAATTCTTTTTATGATAAATTTAAATAATTCATTTTCATTGGGATGTTAGGAAATGCGACCTCTTGCATACCCAAGTGATTTTTGTGAAATACTAAATCATGTCATGGTCAAACTAATGAGAATTTGATAAAAATGAAAAATATGGGCTGGAATTTGATTTGAGTGAAATTTGAAAAATGGATGAAGAAACATAATAATGAAAAAAACTGTCAAACAAAACACTATGGAAGAGAAAAGAGATGAATAATGTTCTAATATCACAAAAGCTGGAGAACTAATTCATCAAGTACATAACTTGTCGTATTACATAAATCAAATTGAATATAAAGGCACAGAAACACTATTTTGACACCATCTCCAATTATACCAATCATCTACAAATTTTTGCAGATGAATTGAATACAGCAAAATACAAAATCACTCTCTAATCACCTGATTTATTCTGTAAAACTATTTCTTTGAAGGTATTATTACTGTAAAATCTGAAGAGTATCCAGCAACAAGAGGCCCTATCAAACTGCAACTTTCACAGCACTGTCACAATTATCCAAATCTCTTGTGTGCCCTTCCACGACTTTGGTTGGGGCCCTGGCTTTCAACAACATTTCTGCATACTCGTCTTCTGGTTTAGACAAAGCTACAATTGCCCCACCAGCTCCAATAGAGGCTTCCCCTTCATGTATAACAATGGTCCTGATTACTATATTAAGATCAAATGTTTGGTTATATGAAATGAATCCTATTGAACCTGAATAGATGCTTCTGGATGAACTTTCTATAGAATCCAGAATTTCCATTGATCTTAACTTTGGAGCTCCAGTCATTGAACCTCCAGGAAATGCAGCTTTGATGCACCCAATAGGGCCGGTGTTTGAACTTTTCTTCCCTTGAACTGTGCTAACCATTGTGTGGACGGTTGCATAGGACTCGACTTGCATCAGCCGAGGCACACAGACGCTGCCAGGTTCGCAAACCCGGCCGAGATCATTCCTCAAGAGATCGACGATCATGAGATTTTCAGCCTGGTCCTTTTCACTAAAAGCAGAAATGAAAGGGAGAAGTTTGTGAATGAAAAAATAATGTAGAACTGTAAGATTAGAGAATTAGAAAAGAAAAGGGCAGAGAAAAAGCTTTGAAAACAGGAACATGTGGGGCACGGTACCACAATAACAGCAACAAGAAGCCTTTATCCCACTACGTGGGGCCGGCTACATGAATCCTTTTTCTCCACTTCGTCCTATTGAGTGTCATATTTTCATTTAATTTTAATAGATTAAGATCTATACAATATGCCAAGTTTTTTTAGGTCTACTTCTGCTTTTCTTAACAAAAATTGAATCTAAAACATCTACTCTACTAACCGAATCATCAGATGGCCTAAGACGACTCTCTCCAATCTTGTTCGCCGTTGGTGCTACAGCACCCTATCACACATATATTCATTTCTCATTTTGTCTCTAAGTGTCAAGCCACTCATCCACCTAAATATTCTCATCTCAGCAACACTTAACTTTGTGTTATGCTTCTCTTTTAAAAGACAATCTGCACCATAGAGCATTGCAAGTCTCACCATCTGATAAGGAGATCCATTCAGTCTAAGCAGTGTTTCTCTATCACATGGGGGATATGATAATAGGAAGATTTACATACAAATCATGTAATTTCTACGTATTTACATATCTAACACCTAACTTCAATTTTTGCATATATGCCACCTTATCCATGTATGAAAATGTGTGTTTCTTTTTTTAAAAGTTAAAATAGTGGTATTTTTTATATGAAATAAAGAATTTGGGTGGTGCAAATGTAATAAATTAAATTTTAAGTATTAGATATGTAAATACATAAGAGTTGTGAAGTATGTATGTAAATGCCCCTATAATATGAAAGCAAGTTAAGAACTACAGTTCCTCAAGATAATAATACAGCTAAGGTATCTTTATGTGCAGGGCAACACAATCTAGTTTTAAAGATGAAAAATATGATCACGAGATCACATTATTGTAGCAGCCAAGAAGATTTCAGTAAATACTAGCTGTTAAAGAAATTTCTATCTCTAAGCATCAGTTCTTTCTACCAAAAAAAATCTACCAGGTAATTTGAATAGGGTCATTTACATGCATGCCACACTATTCTTATGCATTTACATATCCAACACCTAAATCCTCATATTTACAAGCATTCCACCAAAATCATTAACATCACATCAAAAATATCACAATCACTATCCGTTTAAAAGTGAAACACACCTTTTCATGCATAGTTTTATGACATCAAAATGTTAAAAGTGTTAAGTACCAAAATTTGGGTGTTTGATATGCAAATACACAAAAACAGTGTGGTATGAATGTAATTTCACTTTGAAATATTGCAGCCCGTGGAGAGATGGGAGAGGGATTCAGATAATTCTATGTCACAAAGAACCTAACGGTGCATTTTTGTAATTAAAAACTATCAATTAGAATGCTCACCTGTACTTCAGTTGTAACCTTCGACATTCATCCTCCTCTGATGTACTTCCACGAGCAATAGTTCCCTTGATCGGCTTTGCTTCTAGAATTCCAGATTCATCCAGCCGCAGAAACCTCTCAGGTGAAGAACAACATATGCATAATTTTTCTCTGGAAAAATTAAGCCAAGCAGCAAATGGGGCAGGATTTGCTTCTCTCAAATCAAGATAAATATTCAGAGCATTTATGTTGCCAACCCTCATTCTCATCTGAGTTGTGAGGCATAACTCATAGCTATCTCCGTCTCTAATAAATCCCAAACATTTCTCAACATCTTTGATGTACTGATGCTTTGATTTATCAGCTACAAAGGTTCCTCTGCGTTGGGTGGATAATCCCGCTTGCTTTTTCTGCCATTTCATCTTTCTAGAAGCCAAGCCCTTCAAGCTAAGAAGCTTCTTTTCTGTTTCATTCAGCCATAAGTTCTCTTTACAATATTGTGGTGCAGAATTAGAACGTGATTGAAATTTATCATGTATTTGCAGAATATAAACATCCCCATTGCTATGGTCAACAGCTACAATGTTATCAGCAAAGAAGAAACAGGCATCAGGAGCAGTTGACTTGAATCTATTAGATAATGCCCCGCATTCAATTTTCAGATCGTACCTGCATAATTTAAGTTAGATTAGTTGGTTCCAGTGAGGAAAGAAATATAAAACTGAAATACAACGGTTTCAACGTGTCTGATGAAAAGATTATTCATAGTAGGATATATGAGAAACGTGCAAAACCACCTTAATACTAGAAATTATCAAACAAGGTCGTAGAAACAGCCATGCATAAGTGGTAAATTCGGAGATTTTTTTTAATTTTACATACCGCCTACTGAATTCAATATAATCATCTAAACAGCAAAATCTGACCTATTAAAATGCAATAAGGAATAAAATATTATTTTTTCAAGGGACAAACAATTAGTGATCAAAGATAGCATGCAATAGATAATTAACAATACCCAATGTAACCAATAAAACCGCCCAAAAAGTCAAAGGGCAAGCCTTCAAATTCCTTTTTGTCGTATTGAAATTTCTGGAGTTCCTGCAGAAAAAAAAAAAAGAAGAAAAATGAGCATCAAAGCATTTTTCCGAGGTGAGTATTAGTTGCAGAAGGTACATGTATGCTCCGAGAATTCAAGATAGGAAAATAAGTGAAAAATCATGAAGCTTTTCCTTTTAAAAGAACTAAGAATATTCTGGATCTAAACATGAAGCAGATCTCGGATATTAAACTTCACCTTATCCAGAAAATCAAATAGACCGTCTTCAAGAAACTTTATTTTCACGGAACCATGGACATCTTCAATTGATAAATACCCTCCAGATTTGCTTGTCATTTCACTAGATTATAGAAAACAAACACTGATCGATGCGCTAGAATAACAAAAAAGTTCTCTAAGTATTCAATCATGTAAGATGACCGGATTTAATACAAACCTTCGCTGTGATATGTGATAAGTTATTTGCTTCCACAACGAACCGCCTTTACCACCCATAAATGAAAAACGTGACCGGCCCTAAAAGAGAAGTCACACCAACTCAAAAGCAAAACAGGAGATTGTCAACAAGAAAGCAGAAATTTTGAATAACTCAAAAGCTGAATTGGAACATTGTTGGCACATAGCATCACGTGCAAAGGAAAAAATGTTTACATTCACCAGGTATGGTATAAAGATTCATTATTCTCTTCATTAAAAATCAATGAAATGGTAGATAACCTCTTGGCTGACTTAGAACTTATCAAATTACGTAAAGAACTAGGAATTGCCAGAAGTTCTGAGGGTAGTAACAATTTAGGCCATATGTGCTCCCCTTTCTGGGCAACTTAGACACTTCGTTTGTATGTAGTTGATACTTCTTGTCCTGATTATTTCTGTAATGATAAATAGACCATATCAATTGCGTATTAGCTTATCAAACCCTTCCATTAGGCTAATTCTTCTATTTTCTGCAGAACCAACATTTAGTAGAAAGAAATTTGATTCACCTCGAAATGAAGAACAAAGTCATTCTTTACTTAAATTTATGATTTCAGTAGGATAACTTGAGCCTATTTTCACCAAGTCAAGAACGCCCCTCATTTTTTGGTTGTTTGGAGATCTCTAGTAGTCTAGTCCTTCCATTTGGATTGTAGCAAGTGGTTCCTTCATAATTTCATAACATATGCCAACCAAGAAATTCTTCAAGTTTCTCTTACTAAGCACTCCAATGACTTGAGATGGTGATAGTCCATCTTCCTTCTATGGTCATCATGGTAATGACAATTTTTTTGGGTCTCTTTTGCTCAGTGGTGCATGACTATTTTAAGCTACCTGAAGAAATCTCCACTTTAGATGGCTACAAGTTTTGTGAAGAGAGATTAATTAAAGTGACTCGAATGAGCAAATGTGACTGAAGGGAGAAAAAGATTTGAGGCCCTTGAGTGAAACAAGCTTTACATGAGAACCGGCAACATCATTGGTAGTGCCATTGAAATGCTTTTCATGGTAATTGTTAATTTTGTTTGCAGTTAGGGAGAAACCTTGAATTTAAGATGAATTTTTGGAGCCTAAAGTGAATTCCTTTGCTTTACTGTGCTTATTTGCCCTTTCCAAATGCTTGGACATGAACTCGAGAAAGTTCTTTGTGACCATAAACTTAAACCATCTGTACTTGTATCCTAAATCAAATCCACCACTATAAGGGACGTGGTTTGAAACCTCAAGCATTTCTTGGTTAAATTTGGTCTAATAGGCCATGAGAAACTCAATTTCACCTTTCCTCAAGAAGAACAGAGTTAGACAACTCTTCCTCAATTTCAAAAAACTTGAGACATGGGTTGGAAGATGCTAACTCTTGAAGGGACGTGACGCTCAAAGAAAATGATTGAAAACCAATTTAGAACAACATCCTTCAAAAGTTGTCAAAAGGATACACATTTTCCTACATTTGACACTAAATGTGGAGCCAACATTGACTCGAAGCCTACACGTGATCTACACGACATTTCAATGGTTTGGTTAGGCCCCTGTAGGAGGCCAATTGAAAGATTTTAAGCTTTTGAGGAAGTGATTCTCAAAAAATGGACTTCATTAAGAATGATGTTGAGGGAAAAACTATAATCATGCACAAGCAGGATTCTTCCGCTTGTTATGGAGTATCCTCATGATCCTCAACTCATACAACATATTATGGAGGGAAGGAGGCGATAAAGCTGTCTCATGAACACCCCAATTATTGGCGACTGAAAGTTCCACATTTAGAAGAAGGGTAACTAAAAATGTTGTGTTTCCTTCATACATTTGGGCATGTGCAACGCTTTAGCCAGTCATCACTTTATGCTTGGAGCGGTATGCACTCATGAATAACTGTGGTTTCATCAATGGTATATAGCTGAGGACACTCATATAGTTGGAGTGAGAGATCTCTGGACCTATCCCACTTATAAGTTCCTCTTTCTCATATTCATTATTGGTCTCAATAAGAGCACTAAAAAATATATTGACATCTTAACTTGGAGGGGAATGATCAGCATGATAGATTTAAGGAAGAGATTAGATAAAACAACTAATCTGAGAAAAAAATGAGTTGGGAGAGGAGAGAAAGAAAGTAAACTCAAGTTCCCTTCCTGAGAATGATTTTTCTAGGCGACTATCTTAATTTCCTTGGGCTAGATTATATTAACCAAGGCAAAATGAAATATAATTCAAGTAGAAAAAGCCTTAGTCCCATAAGACAGAGAAAGCAAGTTCTCTTTCTAGTTTCTATGATATTTATTTGCTCCTCCAAAAAAAAAATTTCTATTTAATTCTTACTTGAACCATTGTATCATGTAACCACCCCTTTCAGCACAAATATGAGCTCATGGATTCTCTAAATGTACCAACACATGATAAGTTACCTCAAGGATGTGCCTAGTTGATGCTAGAATATCCCTATCACTGCCAATGATGTTCACTAATACATATATGACATGCACACTTTCTAAATATAGAAGTTTTGGATCATCCTAAGGCAGCATCACGTGTCCTCTAAGAACCCTTATTTTGGGTAGCTTTTAGTGCATTAGTTCCCAATCTTCATACTAGTTGGGCCTAGCATTTTGATCTCCTTCAGTAGTGTTAAAATGTAATAGGCAGAAAACCTAAATTTATTAGGTAGATAATGATAAGGTAAGCAAATATACCTTGATATCACATCCGAATCAAGTATGCCATTTTTTATGATAGAGAGGCAACTAAGATTACAATTAGATTTGAATGAACAAAAATTCTCCAGCCATAGAAGATGTGATGATGATTGACACCATCTGATGCGGCACGCTACAACCATGATTTCACAAGTCGCAGATTCCGCCAATCGCGGATCAATTCCGCGACTGGGGGACTATAGGTGGGCTGCAGGGCTGCCTAATTTCCTTCTATTTCAGCATATTTATTTACTTTTTGATTTCTTTCTTATTTGTTTATTTTTAAATAGGTTATTTGCAATTAAAGAACTATTTATATGTTGTTATTTTCTATTTTTGGAGACTTTTGCTTTGTTTGACTGTCATGACAATTGTAATCTCTGATTTCTACCTAATAGAATATTGTATTAATTTCCTTTTACAAGTGGTGTGTTTATAACTTGCGCGGGAATAGATGAACCTCCTCAACATCCATATAGCGCCGTTTCATCGCCTGTCTTGCTGTTTCAGCAGGGACAGCCGTCGAACAACCCAAATCTGTTGTCCAACAGTAGATTAAACTCATATCCCCTTATGAACCCTATCGATCGTCCCCTATTCTCGTCTTCTTACCACTCACAACCACTGCCCCACTAAATTCGCTTCCTAAACACTTACTAGAAACCCTAAAATGGTAGCATCTGGAATCGGAGCCCAACAAGCCTTAAGTTTTTTTAAGATTGTCTTCTTATTCCAAATCCAAAATTCGGAAAAAAAATGGACCATACCAAAATAACATATCACAATTTCAAGCCGCAACCCTAAATTTTTAAAATCCAACATTCTTACCTTCAACAAAATCCCACCGCGACACCTACCCCTAAATTCTAAGACCTCGACCAACTTTGATTTATAATCCTACATTCGCGAGTACTTGATCAAGAGAAAATATCTCCATGCTATTAAGAAGAAATGTCAGCAAGGTGTCCAAGATCTTACTATAGGGGATATACAACGGAAGATCCTTCAATTGCTAAAGAGATTGTCATCATTAAGAGGAGACAATCTAATGAGGTGATCTAAGGCCACAATGGTGACTATCCAGATTAAGAGGAGAATGTGAACCCCTTCCATCATGCAGTTTCTAGATCAAGAGAAGGAAGTGAATCTCGATGACCTGGCATGAAATATGAAAGAAGAAGGATATTAGAGGGAGTATTAACTTACCAGATTTTGATGGTCACATGAACTCGGACAAATTCATTGAATGGCTCTGAACAGTGCAACAGGTCTTTGATTGTAAGGAACCGCCTAACAAAAGGGTGCTGATAGACGCAATCAAACTAAATAAGAGTGCATCTCTAGGGTTAAAGCATATTCGTCAGCATAAGAGGAAAAAAAATCACTACCTCACCTAAGATGAAGAGGGAGAGGCGGCACAAATACTTTCCCTGGCATTACCGACATGATATGTTCATTAAACTCTACCATATGCGCTAGAAAGATTCATCTATAGATGAGTGCAAAATTAAATTTGATCAATTAATGCTGAAATGTGAGTTGATGGAACCCGAGAAACACACAATAGAGAGATATCTTGGAGAATTGAGGTCGTCTATTAGAAATGTGGTGCAGCTGCAACAATATTGATCCCTACTCGATGTACAGATCCTATCCTCGAAGGTGGAGAGGCAACATAACAATGTCAGATCCACACCACCTTAATGTTGAGTTCAATCCCAAGATCAGGCGGTAAAAGTACACCCAATGGAGCATCCTAGCCGACCTTGCCAGAGAAAAAAATAGTTAGTGGAGAAAAATGGAGAACTGCAACACTCCCAAATTTGTCCCTGCAAAGAAGTGTCTCAAGTGCCACAACTTTGGACATATTATATTTATTTTCCCAAACAGGAAGGCGATATCTTTCACTGAACAAAGCAACTGAAAAAATGGACAGTGATATATCAGATAATGATGTTGTCAAATAGGAGTCTCAACTTTCAGTTGACGAAGAAGAGACGCTAATGATTTAAGTTGAGCCCGTGAGAGAGACTCAAGTTGGATTAACATTAGTTGTTCTAAAAGATGATCGAGTTCGAGAAGCCGTTGTTGAGGAGTTGCCATATATTATGACGAACAGTTTACCTCCTTAGTGACTGCCACTGATGGGGTCACAGTCTGTTGTAGATTTCCCTTCCTAGTCAATTCTACCAGATAGACTTGTTTATTGGATGCGCCCAATATAATACGAGAAGTGGGAGAAGTATGTTACATATTTAATGACTCGAGACTTAGTTCGTGAGAATACCTATTTGTGGATTGTTTTAGCTCTGATTGTGCCAAAAAAATGTTACTTATTCTATCAGGATAGTCTTTGGAATGATGTATGTGTTATAGAGTAGCAGGGAATGGACGCCAACATAAGTTTTGCAATTAGTTGTCCCAGGAGTGGCAGAATAATGATTTTGTTATAGTGGTGATAGATCAATTCCATAAGCTTTCAGTGAAGAAGGCAAAGGCCTTCCTACCTAGGGAGTATGATATGGGGCTCTATAGGCGAGATTCCGCAAGTCACAGCTTCCCGTGATCACGGATCAATCCTACGACTACGGGACTACAGGGCGGCCACAGAGCCGCCTAATTTACTTCTATTACAGCATATTTCTTTCCTTTTGATTTTTTTTTATTTCTTTCTTTCTAAATAGATTATTAGCTATTAAAGAACTATTTATATGTTGTATGTTGATTTTGGGAACTTCTATTTTGTCTTGAGTGTCATGGAGATTATGATCATCGATCTCAACCTAATTTAGTGTTGTATTATTTTCTTTTTGCAAGTGATGTGTCTATAACTTGTACAAAAATAGGAGACGAATTTCCTCAACATCCGCCCGTCTCACTGTTTTCAGCCAGGGAAGCCGCCAAACAGCCCAAATCTGTTCTCCAATAGCAGATTTTGACCCATATCCTCTTTTGCACACCATCGGTGGCCCCTATTCTCATCCACTTACCATTCCAAAATCACCACCCCACTAAATCTGCTTCCTAAACGCCTTCTAGGAGCCCTAGAACAATATCACTATGCTTGAATCCGTTTTGTGTTAAAAAAACCCTCAAATGCAAAATATCTGAAAATTCAAATGCAACAGAAAACAATGGAGAAAAAGTAAGTTAAGACATTCTCATAAAATTAAAAAATAAAATCCTAATAAGGCTTGGAAAGAAGAGATTTGGACTGCTTGAACCCAAAATTCTAAAACTCAAAATTATTTGAAGAAAATAAAGCAGACAATGTATCCAATAAGATTCAGGTAAACGGCTGTGAAGGCATGTTTAAGAGAGAACTGTAGCTAAGGACAAGGCTGAAAGAGAATCTAGACTTGTGAAACAGCATTGCAGAAAAACAGTAAAAATGTACAAATAAATGTAGGGTATTATTTAAATTTTGAAAATCATTACATGATCTGTGGAGGAGCTATCCAACCAAAACGTGTTTTCCGCATTATCATCTCCAAATAGATTGCAGAAAATATTTTTTGAGCCTCCAACCTGACTTTCTAAGCAATCAACCTTCTTCCATTGCAATTTTAGATACTTGGCATCAACACTTCTTGGTGTAAGGGTTGGACTCACACACAAACGCACATGATTTTTTGACGGATCTCTGTTATGCAATAGATTTCTTCTTTGAAATCCATTAGGAGATTGGCAAGCTCCAGCCACCTGTATTATGTCAAAAGTTCTACTTTCACAATTATGCGCTAAGGCGTGACAGAAAACAAGAATATTAACAATGGTAAGTTAAAGAAAAGTTTATCCCAGTTTATTTACAAATGCAATACAAAAAAAGTAGGATTTTATATATTCGTTAAACCAAAATGTAGAGTTTACATACAGTCATCATTAAGATCATTAGTCTTATCCCAAGTACATGGGTCAGCTTGTCAAATCCTCATTTTGCTTTTATCTCTCTATTGAGTGTTGTATAAGGTTTTATATCTAATTTCTTGAATTTCTTTTCAATTAATTCCATTCAAGTTACATTCAGTTTATCCATTTTTTACCGAACAGCATCAATATTAAAAATTTATTTTCCCATATTATTCATCCACCTTTTATCTTATATTGTACATGCCAAACACTTCGAAGCATATTTTTACCATATTATCTTCAATATATGCCACCCTCACCATCCTTCTAGAATAATCAATTCTCTTTTATCATTCCAAGTTTTGAAACACCATCCTAACATTCTCACTTTCATTACGCTCAACTCATCTACCAGTGACTTCTTTGCTGTCCAATGTACATTTAGAACAATAGAAAATAACAAGCCTAATTTTAGACTATTAAATTAATCCGCAAATCTTCATGATATCTTTTATCGCATAATACCTTGAAGCGCTTTTCCATTGAATCACCAAACTTTAAGTATAGAAACTATATCTTAATTACTTTACATGATAGTTACAAGCTATCTAAAAGCAGTCTAATTGTCGTAACGAAGCCTACCCTAGGTAAAAATGTTTTAGTTCTCAAATTTCCCTAAATTTAAAAAAAAAATACAAGGGAGTAGGAGAATTTTGCAAAAGAGAATTTCTAAGAAAGGCTGTTCGAACTTCATAGGAAATAATTGCAGTTTACCACTACATTGGACCTTTCTTTTTTGTAGGCTGGACCTCAACCCATAGTCAACTGTAATCTTCTTGAAATTCTCAAATATCTTCCTACCATAACAGGTAGCAATGCTCTCAGGATGGAACTGGTCACCAGATTAAAAGTTAAAATGATGAATTCTAAAAATAACATTAAAATTTTCAAATGGAATGCGCCATACCTGAACACCATAATGTGGCTTGCTGCAGTGCATAAGACCCATAAGGATTTTGCTTCTCTCCGGGTCATTTAAAATGTCAATATCAGACAATCCTGCACCCTCTAAATCACCGGATAAATCACCAAAAGGTTGGAAGTTATGTGTTTGATTCACAAAGGAACCACAACTCATATCATATTCTTGTGTTTCAAAATAAGAATGTGTACCCACAGAAGTAATCCATGATGTAGGGACAAGTTCCTCAGGAATTGATTCAGCAGCTACCACAAGTGAATGGTAACGCATAACCTGTTACATAATTATCATGTCTTAGAACTATGAACTAAAACCCAGTAAATAGAATGGAATAACAATAGATGTATTGGGTGAAAAGCATCAATGCTCTTTGGCTTGTAAACCAAAATAAAAAAAAAATCCAACCAATAACAAATTATGGATGGACCGATTACATGAAATGTAAAGCAATTTCCAGTATTTGATTTTTTAGAATCGGAAGTGTTATTAAAAACATTATTACACAAAAATGCAAAGGTGAATTTCAAACTTCAATATAATTGCAAACATGCACTTTCCTGTAAGGAAGTTCTTATTTCACCTTGAATCCTGATCTTCGTCCTGATGGAATACCATTGAAGAGATTGCAGCCTGTATGTTCAATTTCGCTGGAGACAGAATGTTTTAGATGTTCACCCCATGACTTGGGATATATTTCAAATCAAAATGTAAAAAGTAGTTCAACCTATCATAGTACCTCAGACGTCCATGAATTGGCTCAGGGGCTTGCACAATTCGAGCGCCATAAACAAAACCCAATGCCTACAAAATTATGACATTTTGAATACTACCATCAAAGAATACAGGTAAAACTTTAAAATAATGGAGGAAAGATTTAGATGATAAGATGGTTAGAAATTGTAAAAGAAAGACCAAATGACAAATTTCTAGTGCATGTGCTTTTGATAACAATTAATAACTGCTATTGAAAGATCAAGTAATATCTCAAAGTAAAAACAAAAGGCTTGAAAATAAACACGTAAAAATTGGCATGCTTGAAAAAAAAAAGCAAAAATAGGATTGCTTGCTTATTACCCGGCAAAAAATCACCATCTAAGACAAAATCTGTTGCAACAAATAACCCAACAGAAGAAAGACTAGGTAAATAACACAAATTTCTTGTTAATTGCCCAAAAAATAGGATTGCTTGTTAATTGCCCAGCGAAAAAAGCATTATCTAAGACCAGTTACAATAAAAGTCCATTTTTATGAAATAAAAGACTAACATTATTACAAAAGACAAATTTATTAGAGGTATTTGGATACATACCATACACTTCTTATGTATTATATCTAACCTCTTAACTTTAATATTTACATTCAAATATTTAACATCACATCAAAAATAACATTAATACTAATTTTTTAAAATAAAATATATATTTTCATGCATATTTTTTGATATGAGTATGACACTAAAGTGTTATACATGTAAATGTCGAACTTTAGGTGTTAGATATATGAATAAGTAAGAATTGTGTGGTATGTAAGTAAATTCCAGAATTTACTATATAATATGCTAACTTTTTTATTATATAAATGACTAACGTTGCTATATAAAATAATTATTTACTCACTATTACAAAAAAATATTACAATGTGTTAGCCTCACTCATCCATGCATTTGTTATTTTTGCTAGTGTGCCCAATGCACTTGCCCGCTGGTTTACCCAACCACTTATTGTGCTCATCTACTTGATCACACACTCTTTGTACTTTATGGCATTCCCGTCCAGCTTGCTCGTTCATTAGTGTTCAACTACAAGCCCATGGCATGAAAATCTAATAACTTGCACTGCATTTATGATCAAATATTACATCAAAATTTCTACTTTCTCTTAAATAGTGTCATGCCTTCTCACTCATATCTCAACGAGTCAAAACCCTCTACTATCGATTCCAACATCAAGTTCAACGGTATAAATTATTGTGGTTAGAGATTTTTGCTTTCTTATTTTAAATAAACTTTAGTATCTTGATTCTCTACTCTAAATAGCTCATCACTAGCAAGTTTTGCCAATGAAAAGTGCCCAATAAAGTTGTTCTTATACGGTTGCTTAATAGTCTTGTACCTTAAACTGCCAAACTATCAAGCTTCAAGATTCTTCCAAAAATGGGGTTTTCTCGACTCCACATATTTTCTAGAAAGTAATATCGCCAATGTTTACATTTGAATTTTTTGTCCCATCGACAAAATATTGTGCAAATTTAGTAAAATTGTAGGATACTAATAGACGATTAAGATGAATTAGTTCAATACCACCCTTTCACAATAGATCCAACTATTTAGTAAATCAAAATGAAGAAATCATTGTCACCAAATTTATCTCTAGACTGCAGTCTTCTAAAACATTTTCATTGTTCTCTCCTAAGTTCTTCATTTAATAGAGCTCCCTCCTTCCTAACCTCTTCCTTGGTCTCTTATTCAAGGGACAATCAAAGGAGTCGTGAATGTGGTAGCCATACTGGTGGTGTTTGTGATTATAGTCACAATGTTCTCTCTCTCCCCCTCTCTCTCTCTCTCTCTCTCTCTCTCTTTTGTGGTTCTCGTTGTAGTTGCACATATTGCCCTTCTAAATGTTATTAGAAAAAATACAACCATCCACCAACAGTTCAACATACTTTCACAATTGAACCAACCTAATTTACTCTTTCTGATGCTTCATCTTATGAATAGGTTAATTATGCCTCTACTTTAGCACTCTGAGACATATATTGTAGCATCTGATGTGATTTCTTCATTTGGACTCTATTGCAACTATCTTTAAGCATTTTGGATTATGGATTCGGGCTCAACCTTTTATATGACAGATAACAGCTTATTTTTTTCATCATTACGAAGGATATATTTATGCTACTGCTTTTAATAATTTCTCATCTCCAAATTCTGGAAATGATATTTTACATCCTTTAAAAAAACTCTATATCTCTCACATTTTTATGCATCTCATAACTTCATGTTAGCCTAATATTAATTACTTTTTATAAAGACTCGTGACTAATTGTAAAATTTTATTCCTTCCATAGTTTTTTAATATTTTATCTCAAAAAAGACGATTAGAGGATGTATTGCTGGCATAGTCTAATAATGGATGATCAATGTTCCTTTTGCCCTCTTCCCCATTATTACTCCAATTTAATGGCATTGTCAATTGAATCATTCACCCCAAATAAACTTCAACATTTTATCCATTTCATTGACTTAGTGCAAGTTTGATTGTAATGATTATGAATTGAGTACACACCAAGTGGCTTTTCCTTTTTCTATCTCAAATTTTTGACCTTTTCTTGTCTTTTCCTTTTTCCTTTTTCCTTTTGAGTTAGTTCACCAAAACATCGGGTCCTCATCAAGTCCTAGCTAACCTAGGTTTCTTTCATATTGTCCAATTATTAGTGATTGTTTATGAGTCACTTGGGTGGACATTCTCAAATGTTGGCAAGTGCTACTTCATGTAGTTCTGACTTTTAATAATAAATAAAAGTTCAATTTTCCACCTTAATGAAACTTTATACACTGGAAAAAAAAAAACTCGGGAATTTATGAAATCCTAGTTTCACACTTTCTGCTTTAAGGTATTATCCATCAACTTCTTATTCCTACATATTTCAATGTAATGGTGTTACAAAACATACCAAATACTATCTTAAGATGTTGCAAAAGACATTGATGTTTTATAAGAATATCAATCATTGATTCTAAGAGAATGTGGACTTAACAGCTAATTATCTTATCAATTGTATTCCCCCTCCGGTTCACAATGATCTCTCATCTATCTTCACCCTTAATCTTGGTTAAACAATTATTTCCCTTACAATTAAGTTATTCGGTTGCATCTTTTTTTTTTTTATATTTTCAACTCATATAACAACATCTCGCACTTTCTTTTTTTTAATGTTTTTTTAGGTACACTTGAACTCAAAAAAGTTATCTTACCCAATGCCTATATATTATAACAAATTTAAATTTTCACGGGACTAACCTTTCTTTCCTTCCTACTCTATAACCCTATGAGTTGTGTCTCTTCCTACAAAATCTCTCGTACCTACTGGTACCCAGCTTATCCTCCTCCAAAATATCTCCAACCACATTGTTAGATTCAACTAAGCCAACAACCACTAAGGAGTTCTTTGACTTATACTTCCCAATCGCCCCACAAAAAGGTAAAATAACACACTAGTGAGTCCTTTCACTTTTATATGTTATTTGATCAGTTACCTTTTTCCTCCCAAACATTTCCCTTATCCTTGTCACTTATCTATATTCCGAAAGCATAATAAGAAAACTCTACAAAATCATTCAATAAAGTTAAGTTGTCAAGACCCCAGCCCAGGGCTTATAAATTGACCAAGATGGGAACAGACAGTCAGACGGCGAGAATTAAATTTTTCCATATTTATTTTTTATAATTCACTATTAACAGATGAAAAAGATACTAAAAAAATTAAATTAAAACAGTACATTTAAATTTACCTCAGTACGGGTTGTCCGCTTCTTCTATAAACATTATCCCTTCTATCACTCATCTTTTAATCATTAAATTAACATGAAAAGTTTGAAAAGTTAGTTTAAAAATATCAGGTGAGCTAAATAAGTTAGTGAATACTCATACTCCTAAAATACAATAATGCAAGGGGAAAGAAAAATAATGAGTAAGTCAATTATGTTTTTTAATGAATCAATATAAAAATTCAACATATTATTCAATGAATTTTATAATATCAATAGCATACAAATATCAGTTTGTATCTGTTCAATCATCACAGGAGCGCCGTAAAAAAATATATATCAATTAAAGTACTTCAATATCAATATCATTTTTCATATGTGTGCACTTATACCTTAATAATCATTCACTACCATAAAGGGGTGACTTTATCATAGTCAGTCATGCACATACAAACAATCTATCAAAATCATTATTTACTAAATATATATTTCATTCTCATTTACGTAACCGATAATATACTTATAAATCATTTAAATAATGATGTGCACACATATTATTCATATAATATGAATAAAAATTCACTAGAATTCAAAATTCAGAGTTTTCAGTAATTTCAATATAACAAATGATATTATTAGTAAATACATTTGACCTTGAAGAAACAAAATATCGCCATAGTAAAAGAATGAATACTCACCCCGATGTCGATTATATGCTTAACAACGACTCTTCAAAAATTAGAAGTCTAACAAGGTATAAAATTTAATTAATTTATTATTTTAATAAATTATCAGCTTTTCATTATTTAAGTGTTACATTTACATTATGAAATCCTGTTAAATTATATATATATATATATATATTATTAATAAGTGTTAATATTAAATCAATTTAATAAACATTACCTTGGTCAAACCCTACAATGCACGAGAAAAAAACTATGTGCACAGGATCCAGTCTCTGCACGCAACATCCTTTTCTTCTCCCGTCTTCACCTCATCTTCCTCCTTCGACTTAGGGCTCCAAGCATACGCGACCAATGCTTTGACTTCCTCCTACATCGTTTTCCTCACCTGCTTATTAGGGTTTTGGTTCTCTTACTCACACGAGATGCTCGATGATCATGTTTGTAGGTACTTCGATCTCCTCCGTTAACTTCGATGCCAAGTGCCACACCCGATGCTACCTCCAAAGGAAACGAGCGCCTCCCTCCTTCTATTAGAGTTTGATGATTTCTCCTCTCTCCATTCATCTTCTTCCTTCTCCTTCACAATGGATGCACTCAATGACGTTGTTATGCGACAAGTGAAAAGAGCGAGCCTTCCTTCTGCTTAAGTTTCTTCCTCTCCTCCCAACTTCCTTAACCACAGACAAGCCACTCGGCTCTGATTGCAACATTTTATGGAGCGAAATATACCTTTTGGCTTCTCGATCCTTTCGCTTCATCTCTCATTTATTTGGCTACCCATCTCCTCACTTCCTCTTCTTCGGTTCTTCATTTACTCTTCCGACATTTGGTTTCTTATTCCCGAGTAACTAAAATGGGGCTTTACATAAGTTATGCATTGAACTATGTTTTCTAGTCGGTTGCCAACATGGGATTTGGTTGTTCTTCAATATAAGGTTAAACCAATTGTCCATTAATAGGCATTCAAGTCAAATTTCACATAATTGCTCAATCAATCAATACAAAACTCGATTAGTTGTAAAATGATTTGCGTAAACCTATGGAATAGATTGTTTTGACACAAAATTTAACTTTATTAGAACTCTCTTATTTGTAGCATCAATCAATGATAGACTATGTCATAAATGGATGTGTGCACTATCTTCCTTTATAGCAGCCAAAATATGTATTTGCAATAAGCTACTAGGTATGTGGGTTAGCGGGAACTGCATATGTTTATACAAAAAATCTATTTATACACTTAAATAGAGTAGATGAGCTTCATGTTAAAAATTCTACAATGTCCTTACAAAATACCATCGCGGATCATTTTATCACCGTCAAGTAAACACCTTCATGCTTCGTCATACTACTTGTTTATGTTAATGACGTTATTTATTGGAAGTGATCATAATGGCATCTCTAAAGAAAATAGTATATACAAAAGCGTTTTGTTACCAAAAAAAGGATATCGCAAGAATATGATACTGATCTCTTGAAGAAATTGATCTTCTAGGTTGCAAGTTAGTTGATACCTTCTGGATATTCAAATCACTTAAGCTCCCTCCAAGCCATCCGAACATACCATTATTGAAGGTTAGTTTTAACATGATTGCTACTAGACCAAGCATTTCATTCTTCATTGGAGCTCTTAATCAGCACATGCAAATCCCAAAACATAAATATTACAGGTTGCTCTATGAATTCTTAGGAATATCAAAGTCTCCGAAAAAAGACTTAAATATAATAAAACTAAGCACCTAAATGTTGAAGCACTCTCAAATTTCAATTATGTGGGTTCAATTGAACCAGATCACCTTAATAAATAAGAAAGAAACTAGCAACCAGATTCAATGTTCAAGCTAAAAATAGAGTTCTATGACATTGCATGTGAAATGATATGGGTGGAGACTCTTTTAAAGGACTTCAAATTATTAGTTGATAAAATATTTTCTTATGATAATCATATCACCACTTAAATTACCAAGAACCCTATAAATCATGAATGAATAAAACACATTAAAGTTGATTGTCCTTTCACGTGAGAAGTGCTAATTAAGAAGATTATCCTCCATATTTCTCATTTAGAACAAGTAATTAAAATGTTTATCACAGATTCAGATCCCCTATTTTTCTCTCACTTCAAACAAACTAATAATAACTAGCATATATGCTATATGTCACCTCCCAAAAGAGCTCTTTGGAGTGGTGGGCAGCCCAGGACTTAACTACTGTTTTACGGCTCTACACCTAGCCGATGTGGAACTTTTTGTCCGTGACATTCTCCTCCACCCAATCACGTGACGCCCTCATCACAGATAGGCTCCACCGAGGGTCCCACTGAACCATGGAGAGTTCACACACCTAGCAGGCAATAATTTGCTCTGATACCACTTGTCACCTCCCAAAGAGCTCTTCGGAGTGGTGGGGCAGCCTAGGACTTAAATACTATTTTTCAGCCCTACACCTAGCCGATGTGAGACTTTGTCTGTGACATATAGCTTTCTTTTTTCTTTTTTTTTTTGTGTGTGTTGGGTTCAACGGGTGGGGGTGGCAGGCTAAAAGGAAGTTTCTCTACATTTGGAGAGTCGTGTATGTCATTTTAGGTATATCATAAAATAATGTATACATCTTTCTATAATAATAAGATGAGTTGCTTTTAAAAAATAAACAACAATTTTATCTTCTAACAAAAGCTTATTTTGCCAACTAAAATTTTGGCGGTAAAAATATGATTGTTAACTATATAGGAAAAAAAATTTTGTACTCATTAAGAATAGTAAAAGAGATTGAAACTCACTTTAAAATTATTGGAATCTGACATGGCTCAAAATTGACTCGAATCAATTTCGAGTTGCACTCCAAAGTGAAATTGATTTTGATTCTATTTTGAGTTTTCAGCAGCTTGCTCGAACACAATTATTTCAATATAATACTTAGTATGCATGGTATGCTACATGAAATATGTATATAGTATTATTTTCATAAAATACTAGAGATGCATGTAGGTATATGCATGTGTGTATGTATGTATGTACCTCTATATATAAATATGTATGTATATATGTGTGTGTGTATATTTATTTCACTAAAAAAATAATTTTGAGCCAACTCAAAATCAAATCATCTTGAGCCCAGGCAGCTTGACTCAAAATAGTTTTGATTTTGAGATAACTAGAATCAAAATTTTCGATTTTGATTTGGGTCAAATTGATTTAAACTAAACTAAATAATAGCACCAGTCCTCCAACAAACTTGCCTTAATTTTGGAGTTCTATTATCATGGTCTGAGCTTTTGAGAAAGCAAAAGAAAAAACAACATACATGTTATTTGTCCAATGTGATTTTTAAATATTCTTTATTTTCAAAACCATCATGAAGGCACCTAACAACTTTTGATCATAAGTTACAATTTTGTTTATCTAAAATCCCATTATCCTATAATTTTCTCAATTATAAGACATTGCAATTTTTCATCGAAATCTGTAAATTATTCTACATCATGATTAACTATTATAATGCAACGTGAAATTATGGATCTCTATAAGTTTCTCTAAATTATATTTTTTTTAATATTTAAGCCATGGACCTTAGCGAAACATAGGATGAGCAATAAATGGAGAATAATGCATGTATTTAGCTTTTATGAAAAATAAATCTTATTTTACAAATATTATCGTCAGTAGTATTATCCCAACTATTTTAAAAAGGTATTATGAATCCGCGCTTTTCATTTAATCCTATTTGGTATTGTCTGAGGTGTTAAACTTAGTCTTTGAAAATTATTTTAAGAAATGTATATCAATGCTTTCTTTGGTATACTATTTTTTTTTCTAATCTTTCAATACTAATTTTGACTTCATGTCTAAGGGACGTATTTTCTTCCTTTTATTATATGTGTCCAAATCATTAACATCTATTTTTAACAACTTATCTTTAATATACATCCCTCCAAATCTTTCTAAAATAATCATTCCTTAATTTGTCTTCATAATTTTGCTAACATGTCCACAAAATTCAAAACATTTGCAACAAAAAACTTGAGTATAATTGGCAATTTCATAAATAAGATAGGGTGTAAGTTGAAATTATTAAAACTCATAACTATGGATTGCATATTTCTAATAGCGTTAAAAATCACACGTCGCAAACAACTTTAAATTAATGGCCATTGCTTCAGACATAATACTAGTTAGTCTAATTCAACCTGGAATGAGAGAGAACAAATATTTCCCAAAGAACTTGCATAATAGGTGCCAAAATCCTTATTGTGTAAATGGAATCCTCGCAAACTAAATGATGACAAATTATTTAAATTTAAAGTTTGTCAAAAAAAAAAAAAAACCAAGAACCAAACACAAAAATATCTTGCATGAAATTATCTATTTAAGACAATTTTGTTTCCCAAATAAAATTCAGATGAAATAGGATCGTAGAGTTGACCATAAATTATTTTCTAGGCTACTGATGGAAAAAAATTAAGTCCAAACTTTGAAAGATGATCCTTGCTGCTCTAGATGTTGTTACTAAAAACAAAAATAAGAATATTGTTGTATTAAATGTGGTTCCTAAAGATTTTTTATGCATCACATTCTATTTTTACTTTTTTTCCCTAATATGTTAACGAGAGAGTAATATAAATTTGTTTGCTTATATTTCTTTTTTTTTCTTCAAGAAAAAAATTAATATATTTTTAAAAATATTTTAGATTTTTTAGATATTTTCAAAATAGCTTTTAATAGGCACAAGTAACCTACTTGTACATAACTCCCATCTTCAATCATTCATGGTCATACCTTGCACCAAAGATCAAGTTCAACCGATAAGGAGGGCTAGAACGGAAGAGAGGCAAAGCAGGGGAGGAAGAGGATGCAGAGGAAAGAGACAAGCGTGAAGGCTAGGCTGATCTCTAATTGCAATCATGTTGGAAGCTGTAAGGATAATGTAGAAACAGTGATTGAGTTGTTGAAAGAAGAGAAAGTAGTAGTGAAAGATATGTTTGGGGAGGGTATAGCCTTAACATCATAGGTTAGGAAAGGACGGAATGAGCGGGGAAGTAATTACAATATAGAAGAAAGAAAGAAGAATCCCTTTAAAAAGAAAAAAAATAAGAGGAACCCTTACCAAAAATGAATCTATTCTATTTTATTTCATGTCAATTCATAAACAACAAAAAAAATTTAAACATTAAAGGTGATCCGAAAAGGCACCTAAAATAATAGATCTCATTACCCAAAACTATAATTTGATTACTATTATTTTAGCAATCACATTCAAAATAATTGCAATTAGATTCATGGTTTGGACTAAAAAAAATTCAATAAAAGAACAAAATAATTTGTAGAAACCATGGGACCATAGGTTTGAATCCCACGAGAAAATAACAGTAAATTGATCTCATTTAATCAGGATAATTCCTAACTTTCAACAAGATAAACTGTGACCTAAAATACTTGCTATAGGTGCAGTCCACCCTTCCTTGTTGAAGCAACAACGACAAGCTAAAGAAAAATTTTATTTCTAACACAAATATGGATAAATAAGCACCTGGTGACCAAGACAAACTCCTAATATTGGAATGTCCTTGCATTGAGTAAGTACTTGCAAGCATACCCCTACAAAGAAATATAAAAATGAAAACTATGAAAAAGATTTCAATTAACTTGAACATAAACATACAAACAGAAATTTATATAAACTTGGAGTTCATATAAAATCATAATGCCGCGTCTAAAACATCTTTCTTAATTAGGGCAAAAACCAACCTATGTCTGTCGGGCATGTTGGTGAGCCGGGCCCAGGAGATATGACAATATTATCAAAATCATTTTCTTTGTACAAATAATAATGGATGTGCTCCCATGTCCACTCATCATTGCGAATAACCACAGGAGGAACTGAGGAGAAACAAGACAAATTAAACTATGTTTCTGGTAAAATAAGGAGAATTTAGCTGAAAAACATAAATATGTACATAAACGGCCATCTAGATAAAGAGCTTTCATGTTAATTGTGATGCACTGGTTAAAGATCATAAATTAACACAAAATGATCATGTAACACGACCTAATTACATGAAAACATTTTGGACCTTATCCGTTACAATACAAACCCACCATAGGTTCAAACTCGTTGGCACTGACATGAGCCAATTATATACTTGAAGCCAAATATGATCTCACCCAAAGAAAAAAATTATAGCACTCTACGTTCTAGAAATGAAATGGATTAACGCACATCTAGGGAGCAATATTGAAGGAGGTTGGCAATGTAATGGGCTCTTCTTAGCACTTCTGGTGGTTGAGAATGGCGCACTTGCTCTTCCAAGCATTGCTGGTAATCAGAAATGACGATGGTTTCACTGCTGATGAGCATGGAGGCAGTGACCGCATAGACAACATTCGTGCAACATTTCATCCACAAAATGGCTGATAAATTCCAAAAAAGAGATGGTGTTCCTCACCAATCCAATAAGTATGGACTTCTGTGATGCCAAAAAACAAAATAGGTGGCTCTTCATCTTATGAGGATAACTTCAACAGCAATTAGGAGGATTGAAAGCCCAAGATAATTCAACAGATTTCGATGGTTTTCATATTATGTAAATTGGCTAGATTTGAGGTTGCCACCAACAAGGTGTGCTAGTGCACCGAAGGAGGCATTTTGGGGTAGTTTTGGGTTGGGAGATCAGCACGACCCCTTCCCGTAGAAACTCAAATAAACAATATGGCTCAAGCCAGGCCAAGCTAGGTTAGGTTGGATTGAGTTGGACCTACATTGGCTCAATCCATTTAACTGAGTGTGCAAGTTTGCCTTGGGATTCATGCTACTCATTTGAAGAAATGATGATTTATATAGGACTTTTTAAGAACATAATAATTGCCTGTTTTTAAGTTTTATCTTTAAAATTTTAAGAGAAATCTTCATAAATTTTGCACAGGTGATGCTATTCCTCTTGCCTAAATAGTAGGAGATTGCAATGAAGTTAAGTTCTTTTGGTGATTGTGGTTTCTCACCAGAAAACATAGACACCCTCTTTGAATCATATTGAGCATAGAAGTCTTTTTGCAATCACAACTACACCACCAACCAAGTTTAAGTCGATGAGTTTAGTGAAGTCCTCGTCTTAATAATACTCAAAAGTTTAAATAAACTTCACGGGATGATAGACAAAACCTATAATTGTCCAATAAGCTGATTCAAACAAGATAGGTTGAACACAAATTGGGTGCGCTATGCAGTTGTTGGGCGAGACCATGGTATGCAATATGGGTGTCAATAATCTAGGCATATGAGTGTGCCGAAGCAACCCAAGTGCCTGCACCAAGGCCACTTTCATCCAAAAAAGGGAGTGGTGCTAACAAACTGACCCCTCCCCGCTAAAGAAAATTCTGGGGCCAATAAATTTTTTATTGAGCATTTACATACATTCCACCAAATTCTTATGTATTTACATATCTAACACCTAAACTTTAATCATTACATTTATACCACACAAATCTTTCCTATCAGATCAAAAATACCACCATTTTAACTTTTAAAACATGAAATACACATTTTCATGCATATAGAAGGTGGCATGCATGTAAGAACTGAAGTCCTGGTGTTAAATATGTAAATACAAAAGAACTGAATAGCATGTACGTAAATCTTCCAACTTTTATTTCCTCCTTCCTTGACCACCACATGGGCTTTGCCGTCATTCCATTTGCAAAATATGTCAAGTCAACCATTTCTGCAAAGCAAGTAGCAAGAAAATAAAGAGTTATTCTTTCATGTACATCCTAGATTCTTTCAAACCTTTCTCACACTCTCCTTCAAGGTGCAAGGGTCAACAAGGTGGCAGGATCTAAATGCTAGAAGAGCGACAGAAGGAAGAGATTTCTTCTTTTATATTCTCTTCAACCTTCTTCCTCCTGCATTAACTTTAGCACTCTCGCATTCCTAATGCAGAGTTCTATAAAGACGAAATTAATTATAATATGTTCTTTGAAAATTTGTATAAACCACCTGAAGTTACAATTTTGAGAAACATCAAAGGAAACATCCTAATTTTATTAATTTCCTCCAAATTTTAGCATGACCAAAGTAAAACTATTTCACATAAAATGACATTTGGAATTCGAGCTTCTGTTGCCTGCAATCTCTATGAGATGATAAAAAAAATTCGGATTGCCTTTAGGAAGCCAAAGAAATTATCCTAAAAATCATGATTTTCCAGTGTCATTATTCCCTCGAGTCATTTATTATATGCATATTTTTATGCACCATGCAATTGAGAAAAAAAATTTGAGAAGTCATACATATGAATGTATTTATAAACTCTTTACCTTTGGAAAGAAGACTCGGGTACTTCTTTCCATGTCATTATTTACATCTTCTTGGCCAGGTTCCATTTGTTCACCATGTAATCAATGTCTTTGCATGACAAAGATTGGTCATCAAGTTGTAGAAGGATAGACTTTTGAAATAGGAAACAACCTTCTCCTTGCATTAAAAAGCATACTTCAATTGAGCAGAATGCTTTTCAATAAATGGATTTGGCTCATGGATAAATTTTGGTATATTTTTTAGTCAACTACAGCCTAGCTAAGATTTATACCTTAATTGCTATGAACTTCAAATATCAAAAAAGGACCCCAATCTAGGAGCTCTCGGTCTACCATTAATAAAAAAGGAGCCCAGCAATATCCGGCTCATCTCAACATAATTAACAGTAAAGAACAGTGTTGGTCACATAATTAGCAATGGATAGGGATGCAGTAATGATGGTGACAAGTTTTATACGCTGAAGTAAACATATCAAAAAAGGAGGGGTGCTTCCTCAATTGGATCCAACAACTGTGATTTTCCCCTCTTTTGGATAAAAGTTTTGTTGCCTCACGAAGATTATTCAAAGCTATGTTAAAAAATGAAGACCACAGCTTTTGTAGTAATACAATGCCCAACAGTAAATTTTTCCATGCTAACTCTGCTCGCGCATAATCAAGGACCTACCATTGGAGATTAATTAGAGCATGCCTCCTTCCTCAAAAAGAATGCACAAAGGAGATGAGTCAGCCCAAAACAGATAGAAAGCTTCAATCAATTAAGCCAATTCATCCATAACTTGGACATTTTGGTGACTATAACCTTTTGTGCGGGACTAACTCAGGATTCATACTACTCATCAGGATTCATGCTGCTTGCCAGGATTCATGTTATGAACGGAGACTTCTACAGGCTGAGTTAAGACTTTCTTACCAAACCTAAGGAGTTCAATCAAACTTCATAGACTATATAAACCCCTCCGTAAGCTGCTTTTGACCATCTAATCAAACTATAACGGTAAAATCTAATAAATAAATTAAAAAAATTAAAAGAGGTACTCAAGTTGGAGGGGCTATTGTTTATTGTTTGCTAGGAGGGAAATTTCGCTGCCTTATAATGACAGAACTATTGACCAACAATCAAATATGTTCTTTTCTGGTTATCCTTGCTAATCAGGCGTCAAATCTCCAATAGGCATCTTATAATTCTTTAACTAATATTACGTTAATCATATATCTCTCAATCACATGCAAAACAATTTCCAGGAAAAAAAAAAAAAACAATCCTTCCAAAACACGAGTACAATCCTTCCAAAACACGAGTCCACGAGTCCAAAAACAAATTCTCATTCAAAAGCACCCTGGGCTCTACTAAATCTCCACTGAACAAAAAAGACCAAACCTCCATTGACGACAGCCAGCTCCTGGTAGATATTATAGGTGTAGCTGTCATAGTTATCGATCAGAAGGGTCCGGACAAGCTCTTTCGGACAACTCACTCCTCTCCCGTTAGCGTCGCTCGGGAGGCACTGGTCGGCCGACCGCCGTGCTGCAAGAGAGCGGGGCGGCGGATAGGTCATGCATGGACCGGCAGGCCGGAAGGATATCCTCGCCGGTGGATAGGGCTTTGAGTGGGCCACTAGCCCGCAGTGAAGGAAACAAGATGACGGCGATGAGATCCCAATAGGGTTTGCCATTGATGGCGCAATGAAGAGTCCGAAAGCCAAAAAGATGGAATACTGCATAGAGGGAAGAATTGAGGAAAAGGTAAGAAAGAAGTGGGCGGACGGCCGTTCATATTTCCTTTTGGAATAGTTGATGGAGGAAACAAAACGACCACTGGCTTCTCAGCACTGATATAAATAATAAATTAAATATATTAATTATTTATTTTTTATAATATAGTAGTATTATTTTATTAATGAATCACTGACGTGGGACTCGTGAATAAAAGAGAAAAATAAGTTAATAATATGTTCGTTTGGAGCCATATGTGCCAGTGCCATTTTGTTTTGTTCTTGTATTGTTTTCTGACGTACTTAAAGGCAAGAATGGGTACTTTGCAATTAATGATATATATAGATATAAATATAATAAAACTGATGAGTAATATGTTCGTTTGCATCCAAAGGTGCCACTACATAGAAGTAACCATTTTGTTTTTTTCTTTTGTACTTTTTTTTTTTTTTATGTACTTGCATGCAAGAATGGTTACTTTGCAATTATTGATATATATAAACAAATAACATTGATGTGGCTAGGAAGGTGTGGCAGTAAGGTTATCAATTTAATTTCTTAGAATTATATGAAAGTGCAACACACTCAGGTAGTTAAAGAGAAGTAAACAAGATGAAACACCTTGATTTTTACGTGAAAAACTTTGAAAAAGAAAAAAATTATGGTCTTTTTGTCTAATTGAAATAATTTACTATGAATGATGGGTGCAAATGTTCATTTTTCTCTTGAATTAGAAAAAATAGTGTTTCAAAGATAATCATTGTAAAAGTACGACAGTAGTTCATCGATAATAGTCGCAGTATGACTGTAATGAATGTAATTCTCGATTATATCATGATACGAGGATCGTAGTCGATTGTTGTGAAGGTAGTTGTCTGTTATAAATGTTGTAGACAGCGACCATAGTGTTAACATGTCGTATGGGTTGTAGTTGAAATCCATTGTAGTAGTTTGCTATGTGGGTCACAGATGGTTGCTTTATGAGTGTTGTTTGACCACACAGGCCGTAGCATGAAGCTGTAGGAACTGTGAGTCGCGTAGGCCAAGTTGGTCACGGGTCATAATGGTGAGTTGTAATGACCTATGTAGGCAGTAAGGGTCAGAGTCGAAAGTTGCACTGGTTTTGAACTATATAGATCGTAGTTTGTCACGTAAGTTATATTTGTGAGTTATGACGATGTTCATAGGTCGTAGGGACTTGAGTCGGAAGTTATACAAGTTGTGAACGACAGAGGCTGTAGTGATGAGATTTGTGGGTTGCGGAGGCCGAAGTCGGAAGATGCATGAATTGTGGACCACGTAGGTTATAGTTGGTAATGTTTGTCATATTGGTGAGTTGTGATGATGTTTGTAGGCCGCGGGGACTGAAGTCGACAGTTGTGCAAGCTGTGAACAACCTAGATCTTAGTTGGTCATGTATGTCGTAGTGTGGCGAACTGTGGTGGCATATGTAGGTCATGAAGGCAGGAGTCAAGAGCTGCACAAGATGTGCGACGCGTAGGTCGTAGTTGGTCACATAGAGCATAGTAGTGAGTTATGATGATGTCATAAGCAGTGGGGGAGGGAGTTGGGAATGACACAAGTTTTAAACCATGTAGGTTGTAGCTGGTCAAGTATGTCATAGTGATGAATTGTGATGACGTCTGTAGGTTGTGGGGGCTTGAGTCAAGAGCTGCACGGAGTTGTTCTCCATGTAGGTTGTAATTGGTCACTTAGGTTGCAGCGGTGAGCTGTGATATCGTATATAAGCTATAGGGCAGGAGTCGAGAGCTGCATGAGAAGAGGATCACATAGGTTGTAGTTGATCACGTAGGTTATAGTGTAAAGTTGTGATGAAGTCCGTAATTTGTGGGGGCTGCAGTCGAGAGCTGTATGAGTTTTGGATCTTCTATGTCGCAGTTGGTCATGTAGGTAGTTGTGAGTTGTGATGAGGTAAATGAGTCGCGGTGCTCGAAGTCGGGAATTGGACGAAATGAGCTTAAAGAATTGGAGAAAGTCACTGTCTTTGGAGTGTATTGTTATGCTATCAACGAGAAGTGTTGTTGCACCGTAATTAAGGTGTGTTGTTACATTGCAATGTACAATGAGGTTTTCCAATGCACGCAATAACTTCACAAGGGACTTCTTTAAAAGAAGTAGTTGGAGACCAATGATGGTAGATTGTGGCTGATGGTGACAATTATAAGAGTCGTTGGCAGCCAGAGTTGATCGGAGGTGGTGGCAATCAGAGACGATAGGTGGTCGGCAGAGGCTGGAGTTGGACGGCGATGTTGGTGGTAGTTGGCAACAGTCATAGTTGGATTGAGGCGGCACCAACCAGAGTTGGTCTGAAAGTAATGATTAGAGTTGGCTGGAGGTGAAAGTGGCAGTTGTCGGGGACGACAGCGACTGTCGGAGATGGCGACAACTGTTGGAGACGGCAGAGGTGGTGGCATTCGGAGTTGGCGGGCAGTGTTGGTTAACGATTGCAGGAGCGAGAGGCCGATGGAGGTTGGTTGTTGCAAGTCCAGGAGGTGATGATGGGTGGTGGTGACCATAAGCAACAGCAACAATCAGAGGCTACAGAGGCCAAATTCGACAGTGGCTGGAGTTGGCTGGATTTGCAGTGCAAGATGTTGGCCTACAACTCCCTCTTTTGCATGCTCTAATCTAGGTTCCCTTCTCATGAGGGGGATAGGGCTCTATGTAAATGGTTCAAGTTACAAATAAGGAAAGAAACTGGACGTCTCTTTATCAGACGACCGAGAGAAATACCCTTGATCGGACGACATTCGATGGACATTTTAGTGCTTTAATAATGTATATATAACTCGGTGTGTGTGTCTATAAATATATATATCGATATATAGATATAGATATATATATATATATAGACGTGCGCGCGCACACACACACATACACACTTATTTATTTATTTATATTTATATTATATGATAGTTAAATTAAAATAATTATTTCACTTCTCGTTGCATGCCAAATGAAATTCGATTCAAAGGTGAACGAATTTGTTATCATTAATAAAATGAGCAATGAGTTATTCAAAATTATAATGGATGAGTTTGAAGACATCAATTTAAAAACAATACTAGTTGTAAGAATCAACTTTAATTAATAAAAGAGATTATATTCATAATCAAACTTTCTATAATGTCATTTATGCCTCTGCTAAAAATGAATTTTAGCTTCACCTCTAATTGCATTGTATGCATATATAACACTCCATTAATTTCATCAACATATTTTGTAAAACTTCATCGAACAACATAAGTGAAACGACGAAGCTAGAAAAATATCAACAAATGAGTTTGATAAATCAAACCCAATATATAATTAGTATTTGTTATAGCATAAATGATGAACTATTGGCGCATGTAGTATAAAGAACAAAATGACATCTTACCATGTATAATAGCAAGTAATAGATTTTATCAAATGGTCATAATGTTTCAATGATGATGTAATATCAATGAAAAACAATTGTTGGATTTATTTTCAATATGGTGACAATTATGATTAGTCATTTAATAAATTGTAATTCCTGACAATCAATTATTCATTTCCAAAAGCATCCATATTTAATTCAATAATGTCTTGCTAAAACATTACTTAACTTTCATTTGTTATCCAATTGCAAATCAATTTATATAATTATATTCATTTTTTCGGACATCATAAAACTACGGATGTAAATACCAGCTCAAAGAAACCGAATAATTTTTTATTGAGTCGTCACTTTATGGGTCATTGATAAACTAACTAATTTTCAAAATGATTCGACCAAACTATACACTATAACATAGAGGCATATGGTCACAAAATTTTCAACATATATATTTTTTAAATAACTCAAAAAAACAATGTAAATATACCCGTGCAATTTACCATCTCGTTATGAATATTAAAAATCAACTGAAATTTCATGATAACAAAGTTAAAACTAACTCTAGCAAAAATTAATCATAGACAATATTATTAAGGGAGAAAGCAAAGAAGCAAGGGAAATAGGCTTATGGTTGTGATTGTGTAGATAAGGAAGAACGTCAATGAAGAAGTTCAACGGCTATCATAGAGGGAGGAGTGGCAAGAAAGGCATTCTAAGGCAGAGGGGGATTTGGGCCATTTGGCCCTTATTGGTGAAGTAGGTTGAAGAAGAAAGAAGGGAAGGAAGGGGGGACGGGGATGGGAATCACATAGTTATAAGAATCGACGTTGTGCAAGGGGGAAGGATGTTAAATTGCTTTGGTCAAACATTTTCTTAATTCCACACCCCAACTGACCACACTAGGGGTAAGTAATAGCGCATCAAAGGTGAATGACTCTATCAGACACAATTTCCGGCAACATTCGCCTTGATTTACATGAATAAAAATCAAGCGGGTGAATGATTGGTCTCGATGAACTATCACAAGCAAAAATTATCTTATTGATTCATATCCACAACATATGAAAGCACACATGATTACCTTACAAAACCTATATAGAGCTACTAAATGTCAAAATATATGAATATATATATATCATAAAAAGTGTTCACAATTTTTCAAAATGTTACTATAAAAAACTATACAAATCAGGCAACTTGGCTAAATGTCCTGTTGCTCCATACCCCCTCCCAAAAAAGCAAAGAATATAAACTTCCATAATCGACAGATTTTGTAAAATAATCATTGTTAAAGTAAAATTCAGTATATAATAAATTAAATTCTATGCTCATTAATGCCTATTATGAGTCATAACAATATATAAAATATATATTTTAACTGCATGTAGCATGTAAAAGAAATGTATAAAAACAATAAACAATGATATATAAAATGTAATCAACACAAATTTCATTTATTTGAGTTTTCACCAAGTTTATCGGTTCTAGCAACTGCTGATAAAGATTGATCATTCCCCAATATAATAATAATCATTATCCCATTTAATATCAAAATATTTGCACCAATCTCAAAATGTAAATTCTATATTATACAAAGAGTTGGGAATTCTATGATTTTCATATACCAAAATGGGGCCAATCAGAATCAAATCAAGCTCTAATCAATATGTTAAACCGCTTTTAGAAGCTTTCCAAAT